TATTTTGTTTAATGAAAGTAATGTTTCGTACCAAAAAAAGTAAAAAAAAATTAAGATGTTCCTTTTCTTGGAAAGTAAGATGTTTCTGGATTTCAGTTGGCCTTTCCACCCTGGATTTCCTCTTGTCCTTTCCTCTCTCTCCTCCCCATGCTTTCTACCTCCCATTCTTTAGGAATAATCAGATGGTACTTCCAGCGTCCAGAGGTAACTTTGTATTTCTTGCTGATTGAGAATTAAGGAGTGCATATAGGAACAAAACGTGAATGGAGGGGTGGCACCTGTAGTTATTGCAGGTTCACTTTTTGCTTAGAAGTGATTCCTCAAGTCGAGTGTTTGGGTATTTGCACTCTCATAGACTGAATATATAGGCCAACCCTAGTCAGCAAGCTGAAAACATCCTTTCTCAAACCTTGATTCCTCAAAGGCAAGTGCATAGGCTGTAGAATCCCAAATAGAGCTTCTTTGGCTCTTTATTGTGCTTATTTGGTTTATCAGCTACTCGACCAACTAAGGAATGACAAGACTTTGAAACTCGTTTCTCCTATATAACGGTTTTCGATATAAAATACAATAGAAATAGTGGATTCAAAATAACCTTAGATAAATGAATTTGGAGATGATAAATTTGTTTCAATCAACGACAGAATTAGAAGCGCCCCCTCTTTCAACGAGATGAGGAAGGTTTATTCTCATTTGATTTGATGGTGAGAGGCAAATTGAAAGCTAAATGGTGGGAAAATGATGGATACTATCTTCCATTGGTATCACTCTATTAGCTAGCCACTTCCTAAGGCAGACACTAGGTGCAACCTATTTGAAGCTTGTGGATTTAACTGGCTTATGAGAGAGAATGGAGCCTCTGAAGCTTTTTACAGACAAATGGGGTTATTGGTTGTGTCTCCCACTTCCTTCCCACCATGTGATGCCAGTCGGTTAGCCTAATATGATAATCAACAAACACATACAACTATTCGTATGATGCTTTTAAAAATTAAAATCAGATACAACGTTGGCCAAGGCCTAATGTTCTGGTCCTGATGTCCATTAGTTTTGGTCACTAGTCTCATGTTGATAATACAGTTCTTTTTGGTAGTTTTCTTTCCAAATCTTTATGCTTTTATGTGTTATGAATGTGAATAGATGGCACAATCTATTCGTACGATAAGAATTCCATTTTTAAAAGCTTTATAGTTGATATTACCTGTCTGCAATATTGTAATTGCATATGAATGTGCTAACCTACAACAAAGCCAACAAATGTGTATTATTTTTTTATCTGGATAGATAATATGCATTATAGAGCACCAAGGGTGTCTTGTCCACATTATGTACACAAGGAAAAGGAAAAAAACACCATAAATTTATAGAGGCCAAAAGCCTACAACTATTCCCTCAAGCCTCCTGAAAAATCAGCAAATGAATCCACTGAAAACAAGACTGCCCTACGAACTGAAAGAAGGAAAACCTGAAAAGAAAGTCATTTTTACCTGTATAATGGTTAATTGGCCCTCTCTAGACCCTCAAAATGCTGCCAATTTCATGCTGACCATGACAAACAGGAGCTGCTACCCACACTTCAACTCCACTGTGCAAACATTTCCGTGACATTGTAAAAATATTAGAGTGATCTGGGGCATCACCAAATTCACCCATGCATGGAGAATAGAAGAGACCAGTAACTCACTGCAACTGGATAATGTGAAAGCAAGTGGTTGACCACTTGACCGTCTCTGCTTGCTTGCACATAATCGCATACAACTTCAGTTTGTAAGAAGCTTCCCATTCATCCTCAAATTATCAATAAATATGGGTGAAATTATTTCTTTCTTATTTGTGAACCTTTTTTGCTCTATTTTAATTTTTACTATCTACAAAATTTGGGATTTAATATTGCATAATGCAGAAAAGTTAAATACTTTTTTATTCATCTTTGATTGGGATCTTTGTTCAACAAACATGGTGTCTTGTATTCAATATTGTTGACTGTCTTATTTGATTAATCTTGTGGTCAAATCAGTCCAAAAGGGGGGAAAAATGCCCTAGTTCAGGAAATTATGACTATTTAACTGGTTATATCGAATTCGTTTTAGCTGTGCTCCAAGAGTGGAAGGGATTTACAACTGTCTCACAGTATAGGAATGACTTATGAATCCTCTCCCTTTTGGTTTTGTAAGTTTTCTTGGGATAAACTTCTGTGTTTTTAGTTTCGAGAAGTCTAGAACACTAGAAACAAAACATATTGTACCTATCTCAAAATTTTGGCTCCATCTTGAACTTTGCTGATTCTAGTGGTTGAAACTGTTTCTTAATGTTTATGATATTGTGGAAATTTAAACTAGGGAAAGTAGATAACTGTTTCTTAATGATGCACTTTTTGTTGAATAATGTAACCAGAATCCCTCCTACCCTACACGACCCTTGATCTGGATCTCATCAAGGTTTTTAAAATTGGGATCATATCTTGGATTGGTGGGGTTACAGGATCAGAATCATAAGATTAATCGTAAGATCCTATTAACTGAGAAAATGAGACAAAAAACAAATGTAGCAATACAAAATTCTCAAAAAACAAAACTTGGACAAACCTAGTATCTATGCAAATAGGGATATTATGACAAACATCAAACTTAAGATATGATTCAAGTTTGATAAACTATAATTTGAGCATTGTGGAGGATTTAAATCAAAGATGGACATTTAATCTTGTGGAATTTTGGAAAGAAAAATAGAAGAATCGAAGTATTTTGACCTTAACTTTCAGAGAAAGAGATACAGAGAAGAGACTGAAAAGTTGAAAGATTGTTGGATAGAACATTGACTATTCGACATCCAAACAAAAAAGTAGAAAAGAATAAATAAAAATGAAAGATTATTTGGCAATGATCACTCGCCGAGAGAGAAGATTAAATCTAACTATTGTTTTCAACTTTTCAATAAAACAGGCAAACGAATAATGAGACCTTTTTGTAAACGAAACGAACTTTATGTTGTTTTTCTCATCAATTGAAATTCCCCAATATACTCGCAATTATACAAGACATTCACATTTAGATTGAGTCCTTAACAATGAAAATAAAAAATGTGGATTGGATTGCTCAATAATTAAATGTGCCAAACAAACAAACTCAACAACTCGGATCGATAAAATCGCAGTTTGGATCGGGATCCTATAACATCCGGATCTCAATCCATTAAGATTCTACGGATTTGGGATTCTACAAGAGACTCGGATTGATTTGCTATATCGAATCATAAGATCGTAAAATTCTAGGATTCGAATCATGATTTCGATAACCATGGGTTACATGGCCCCAAACCGAATGTGTACATGACCTAGAGTGTGTATTGTGACTACCCCAAATCAAAACCTAGTCCCAAACCAACCAAATCTAATTAATCCTTCCTAATTTTTTCAGACATATAAAAAATCATACTGCCAACAAGGACAAACAAATGCAAAAATTAGTAGCAGGTTATAGTTAAGAAGAGGAAGAGGAAAATGAAGTTAGATACTTGGATCACACAATGTAAATGGATGCCTCAAGACGCTGACGTGAAGCTAATCAAGATTAGTTCAATCAATCTATTGAGTATTTTCTCCCCATATCTCTCGATTTTTGATCAATGTCCAAGATCTAGATGTTCGTTTCCATATTTGTGTTTCTCTCCCTTCTCGGTCGGTTTGGTAAAAACTATTTCTGTTGAAAGAAGGTGGTAGAAAAACAAAGAGACAGAGAAACGCTAGTCTTTCTGGCACCTTCTGAGATTTTGAGAAAAACAGATGTGAGACTTTTTTCATTTACTTTATTTTTGACAAAGCAGACCAATAATAATGACAAGTTTAAGACATAGAACTCAAAAAAAGAAAGAAAAGGTGCCTTCGAGGTGATTGTGTTTGGGTGAAAACAAGTTAAAAGGCAAAGATGTCCCATTTTGGTAGGTTTCTAAAGCTTTTATCCGCGGAAAATTAACTGGGTACAACCATTACTTTTCTTGATATCGCTTATTAATTGATAGTTCTTTGTCAATAAATATCCAAATTTTAATGCCTAAGACCCTATGGATAGTTTGAACTATTATTGTGGATTTGATTCATTTTGAATCCCTTATAACTAATTATAGGGGGAGGGAGAGAAAAACTATCTTTAGGAGTTCGTAGGTGCCGTATTTGATCTAGTAAGAGGAGCTAGAGTTAGACAGCATAAAATAAATATTAATATAATATTTATATATTTAGGATACTAGTATCAGTTGGTGAGGGACTGTTCTAGGCTAAACAAGGTCTTGAGTTCGAGTCTTGGGAACGCAACTGCATTCGGTAGGGAGAGCTTTGCTGCCCTTGTGGTCCTACCCGGCTCGAATCTAGATTAGTCGTAGCCCAAAGTGGCTTTCAGATACCAGATGGTCTGACCAAAAAAAAAACATAAAAAATTAATTATATTGTATAGATTTATGATTGTATATTATTGCTCATAGCCTCATAATAGTTAAAACGACCTTGATAAGAGTTGCAAAACGAATTGAGACCCGAAATCGCTTATAACCTACGAACTAAGCCTACACTCATCATACCACTTATCAGAAAAATTATCATACCGTCTCCTGGTACCATGTATTAGATCGACTTGCAATCAAGGTAACCATGTTCTTGAGAACTATAATGTTGCCATCTCCCGTCAATTTTTTGTGCTCTTTGATGCATACCTCATTATTTTTGGTTCTATGAGTCAGATGTACATGACATGTTTCTAGTAGTAAAGCAATACACATTTTAGATTTCTTTTTTTCGTTTACAAATATCTTTTAGTTTTATCTTGTGCCTTTATCATTGCAATTGAATTTATGCATATTGAAAAGTGAAACCTACCAAATTGAAATACTCTTCATTCATCCCGATCAGTATTTTTAACAAATTACCTATTCCAAAGTTATTTTCATGACGACATACTTGGTTGACTAATTATTGTTATAGTTTGCAAGAAATTTATTGGCGACAAAGTATGGAAGGTGTAACAGAAAGATTTGGAGCTTCATCTGGACCAAAAAGAGTTGACAAATTGATGTTTCTGTGGCAGGGTGATTTTCTACTCATTGTTTTAAAGAATCTGATTGAGAAGCAATCTGCTCAGAACACACCAAAATTGAAAGTTATCCTTATGTATGTTTGCTACTCATATGCATGTTGAATCCAGTTAATCAATAGCATGTTCTATATCAGCTTCTTCTTTTTTTCCTCGAAAATAGTATGTTCTGTGTCTTTCTTGATGATGACTAAGCTTGTTTTATCTTGTGAATTGATTTTCTATTTGATGTTAAGGTCTGCAACAGTGGATTCACATATGTTTTCGCACTACTTTGGCCACTGCCCGGTAATTACTGCAAAAGGCCGAACTCATCCTGTGTCAACTTACTTTCTGGAGGATGTCTATGAAAACATTAACTACCGCCTTGCCTCAGATTCTCCGGCCTCAATAACATACGAGTCATCCGCGCCACAAAAGGTCTATTCATTGCTTGTGGTTTTTAAAATGCCAAGTTCAGCCATTGAATCGTCTTTAAACTCTCTCTCTCTCTCTAAAGTTGTAACATTTTTGTCTGAGTTCAATTCTCTCTTTATTTTCCTTGTGTGGGCATACTTATGCACTGCACAATTTTGGATGCAACTCACTACAACTTTTTGTCCTATTAATCAGTGTACGATTTAAGGTTGGATAGAGAAATGGTGATTAACATCTAGTATCTCCGTAATGATGGTTGAGGGTAGAAAAGGTTGCTCCATTGTGTAGACCCTGCAGTGGTTGCAGTCTCGTAGACTAAGTTGCCCTTTTTATTTCAGAAATGATGGCGGAATTAGCCTTGGTGTTCATCTTGTGTTACTGGAGTCTGAATAAAGAGTACCCATGGCTATTATTTCCTTACAAGGAGAATCGTAGAATTGCCACCAATAATATCTCCATGGGTTACACACTCGAAATTTAAGCTGCATTATCATTTTTTTTGGCCTTTAGTTGTATTATAATTAGGGATACTATAAAATTGTCAAATTTCATTATTTCTTTCTAAATAGTGTCATTGCCGCATGAATTGGTAACATGCCTGCCCTGTCGAACAAGTGGAAAGTTAGTGGGTTAAAATTTGAGTGCAGACACTTTGTGCAAGTAATGCCAAGGGTTAGATCTATCCAAACTGCAAAATGATTCATAATTTCATTCTAAATCTAATTTAGGTTTTTTTTTTCCAGCTTCTCATTTCCAATAATGGACAAAGCTTTCAGTATTTTAATTTGCAAAAATCTTGTGTCCTCTTTATCCATGCAGCCTCTATAAACAGCGAAATAAGTGCAAAGATACAGCCGTATAGACTATAGCTTATGTGTTTTTTATTGATATCCTTCTATTTGTATATGGAACTCCTTTCGGACAACAGTTGCGTGGTGTGGATTCAGATCATTTTTCATTTTTGATAAAGCCCTTGCAACATGTTAATTGTACTTGAGACTCTATAGTCCGTCAGTGGTGCTGTATGCCTTTTCAAGCAAATCATTGAATCTTATTTTCCCATATCAGATAGTGGGTTGTTTACAAATGACCATGCGTTCATGTTTTCTATAGCTGCTGATGACAATTCCAGAGAAGGGATTAGTAATGTGGTCTTTTTGCATTCAGGCAACTCTTCTGTTTATTGCATAGCTTCACTTCCTTGACTTGCGGTGTGTTTTGGTATTTATGCTGTGCATATAGGAATGTCAAATAGAATTTTCTAGTTTTACTGATGTGGGTTCTGAGTATTACTTTTACTGCAATCCCCTGAATCTTGATTGCTTGCAACTGGATGCTGGCAGAGTGCTCCTGTTAACAACCGCAGGGGCATGAAAAATCTTGTCTTATCTGCATGGGGTGATGAATCTTTGCTGTCTGAAGATAGTATAAATCCATATTACAATCCAGATAATTACCAAAGTTACAGTGAGCAAACGCGACTGAATTTGGTAAATTGATAGCACTTCTTAAGTTCCTGCCTAAGCTGTTATTTTTAAGTTGAGGTCTTCATAATATTTTTATTACCTTTTGCCCAGAAAAGATTAAGTGAAGATATTATTGATTATGATCTTCTTGAGGACCTTGTATGTCACATTGATGAAACTTATCCTGAGGGTGCGATACTGGTGTTTTTACCTGTAAGTCCATTGGTTTCATCTGTATAAGTTATCATATTTATGTGCATTATTTTTTTGTTGCGGAAGAGATCATTCATGCTGCATTATTGCATAACAGGGAGTTGCAGAAATTTACATGTTGCTTGATAAGCTAGCTGCTTCTTACCAATTTGGTGGACAATCTTCTGAATGGCTTCTCCCATTACATTCATCTGTAGCATCAGTGGATCAGAAAAGGGCGTTCCTAAAACCTCCAGATAATATCCGCAAGGTTATGCTCTACTTTTCTGGTGGCTGGTTCTTCATGTCCTTGTTCACAAGCCACTTCTTTTTCATGTTTATAAGAACGTGCTTTCCTTGAGTTAATTTTCATTTTCCACTTTTTGACAGTCTTCCCTTTTGTCAGAACCAGAAGTAATACAATTCATTTTGTATTACTTTATTACTTGTTAGTTTCATTTTGTATTACTTTATTGCTAGCACTTCAGTCGTAGGATGGACACTGGCTCTGATTTTGTGTTTTTTTTTTTGTCTTTCTGAATTTCTTTGATACCATTTTGTAACATTCCAAGTCTCTGACTCTCTAGTCGATAAGTGATGATGATGCCATTAGAGGTGCTTATATTTGCAGACACATTCTGGATGAGAAGTTACTGATTACTTTCCTATTATGTTACTTACTATTTGTTCCAGTTTTCTATTATGTTGTCGTCATATTATGTTCTACTTTCCTAATTTTGTAATTGTCTTCAATATCAATCTAATATAAATATGTGACAGGCTGTTGGCAACACACATCCTGCACAAGTATTTTTTCATATTCTCTTTCTTCCTCCCTTCTTCTCCTTCTCTTTCTTTTTCCAAAATCTAATATTCAAATACTCGAGTTTCAACTTGGTATCAAAGCAGGATATTTGGGTTAATGGGCCCTAAACGAGTGGGGGCCTGGTGAGCGCCTCACTCGCCTAGGGTTTAGTTGACCTACAGTTACCAAAATTTATTAAACCCTTGACGGCCCACGATTTGGGTACATCGATCTCGAACGGAGTGGGTTCGCGATCTAGATCACTCAAAATGTACGATCCCTAACTATAATACTAATCCTAAATTGATTCGCTTTGGAACATTTAACACAAATATAAAATACATATTAATTGACAACGTGTATATAGATTTATAATTATATATTATTTTAGTTAATACAAAATTGATCACAATATAAGATAAATGGTAATTGACTTTGTGTTTATTAATGTTCTTGTATAGTTGTGAAAACGGTCTACATAAGAGTTACAACGAATTGCGAACCAAAATATCGTACTAGCTAAGCTTACTCCCATCATATCACATAGCTAAGAAAGTGTTGTGCCGCGTGCACGTACCATGTATCAAAACGACCCATGATTCAGGTAACATTGGGTTGGCCATATATACAACGAGTTGTCATGCTCTATGTGTTCGCCAGTTATGGTTATGTCTATGTTCAACTCGGTTTCATGCTGATACAGTGGTTTTTGCTATGGTGTGGTACTCTTTAAGTGTTTTTATATTGTTTTAGTGGTGATCGGTTTAGTTTGTTGTTGGTTTAGTGGTTTTCATCTTGGTTTAGTGTTTTCAACCTAGTTTAGTGGCGGATCAATGGTTTTCAGATCAATTTAGTGCTCGTTTAATGGTTTTATTCTCTTTTCAGTGTTTTTAGTGTAGTTTAGTGTTAGGTCAGTGGCTTTTGGCTAAATTTGGTACTGTTTAATCCTGGTTTAGTGTTTTTGACTCGATTTAATGTTGACTTAGTGATTTTCAGTCCAACTGATGTTGGTGTAGTGGTTTTTAATCTTGGTTTAGTTTTGCTTCAATGTTTTCAGCCTGATTTAGTGCCAGTTCAATGGTTTTCAACCTATTTGGTTCCAATTTAGTAGTTTTCATCTCGGTTCAGTTTTGATTCTATGTTTTCCACCCAATTTAGTGCCGGTTCAGTGGTTTTTGGCCCAAATTGTTGTTGGGTTAGTGGTTTTATCTCAATTCAATTCTGGTCTAGTTTAACACTAGTTTAGTGGTTTTGAGACTGGTTCAGTGCCGATTCAATTATTTTCAGTCTGGTTTGATTCTAAGTTTGGAGTTTTCAGCCCTTCTCAATATTGATTTAGCCGTTTTAATACTGGCTTAACCCTTTTTTTGTTAAATCAACTCCGATTCTGCTTGGTTTATCCTGTTTTCGACTGTTGCAGTTGAATTTGTTGTCGCTTATGGTTGGTTGTACTATTGTCATTTATCTTGGTTTGTGCAACTGGTATTATTATTGCTGGTTCTAGTGTTTTGTTTGTCCTGTGTGGTCACCGTGTTCTTTTCCCTAGTGTCATCGTGTCTTGGCTTAGACATCACATAGAGCAACCATTTGGTTTTTCTTCCCCAATGGGAGTATTGTGGTAGTGTGTGTCGATTAAAGAAGTTTGTGAATGGTCTAAAACAGTCACCTATAGCTTGGTTTTATCATCCTTGTTATTTACATGGAGATATTGTGATTAACTCAATGATTTTCTCACCTAACCATCGGTGCGGTCTACCTTTATTGTCCTTTATTCCAAATTAGATTTTTTGATCTCTATGCTCCAGTTTGAGGGTGAGTGTTATACTTTATTTGATATAATGAAAGGATGAAAAGATAAAATGATGGAAAGATAGATAAAATATCATGTTTAGTAAGGAAGGAAAATAGGAAGGATGAAAAAGTTGATGGATTAGTTTTTTTTCCAACTCGTTAAAATCTATCCCTCTAAAATTGGAAGGAAAAATGGATGAAAAGTTAATTATGTGTGTTAAAATATATACTATTTACCTTTATATCCTTTAATGTATGTATATATCTTAATTATCTTTTACATATTAATATTATGTATATATTAAAAATCAACTCTTCTTACTTTCTATCCCTACTACCAAACATAAAGGAGGGATGAATTCCCAAACAATTGTTGAACCATACCAAAAATGTCCCAAAACACATTGCAACACCTGGAAACATGAATTTATATATTAGATCAATCATTTTCATTTTCATGGAAACTGAAGTGCTTCTTTCGTTTTCGTTTCCACGGAAACCGAAGCGCTTCTTTCATTTCGGCGGAAACTAGATAATTTTTTACCATAGCCCAATTGTTAAATGAGATGGTTCTCCCTTGGTCATTGTGTATGCCAAGAAAACCAAGATAATGGATCTAACTTCTCTTTTCAACTCATATGTGAATATAAAACTCAATTATGTAGTGTTGGATGGATTAGTTTGGTCTCTATTTTTTATCAATTAGAAAATTATATGCGTGGCAAGCATAGAAGAAACACTCAACCGAGTTACTTAGTTGGTTGAAAATTATTTTCCACAAAATCCTTTAGCGATGTCGATGCTAGAATTGCAATTCTTACAATAATTATAGGTTTCACACTACATTTTAGACAGGAGAAAGGTAGTTCCTGGTCTCCGTTGTCATTATAATCATGCTTTGTGGGATAATACTATATATCAACACTAGCATTCTAGAAGACTACATGCAAATCAAAGATTATCAAGTTCACATGAATGCCCTTCTATAATTGATGGGGTGAATGACACAGTTGCATGGTGTGTGGCCAGTAGTATGCGACACATGCCAAAGCTTTGAATGAGGTCTTCAAGATGCATCCTATGAAGAATACATGAAAGTACCAAAAGCCATGTATGTAAAATAGGACATATGTACATTCATGTAATATTTGTTAAGTACACTGCCGTCCACATATCTCAACCAGGGTCTGAGAGGACATATGTGCAATATTTTTGTATACAATTCTAATTTGGGTGTGTGATTCATAGTGGAATTGTAACTTATAATCAACATTTTAATAATTGGTATTGATTGGAAAAATAAGTAGAACGAACATTTAGGTGGTTTTTTTTATATTATTCAGGAGAAGAAAGGATTCCTCTGTTGAAATTACTGTGCACCTATGTAGTCTTTTGCACAGCTGGTGGAGGTGGATTGCGTTAGATGGTTAACAACCATTGTAAAAGTTGTCAGACCAATATGAATATGAATCCTAAGAAATTTTATAGACTTTGAAAAGACATATGATAGAGTTTCTAGACATATATTATGGTGTCCTAGAAAAGAGAATTCTTGCCATTAAGTATGCTGATGTGATTAAGGGTATGTGTGAAACGGGGTGACTTTAGTGAGAATGATAGGATAGAGAATCTTGATGTTACGTCATGGTTCTTCTTGAGTTGGTATCTATTTGCCTTGATTATGAATGAATTGACTATACACATTTAGAGTGAGTTTTCATGATATATATTATTTGTTGATGGAATAATATTGATTGATACAATAAGAAGGAATTAACAATAATTTAGAAAGAGGGCTTTAGAATAAAAAAGATTCAAGATAAGGAGGACTAAAACTGGAATATATGGAATGTAACTTTAGCAAAGAGTGAAATCCAAATGGGGAACTATTAAAAATTGAAGATCAAAAGATATCAAAAACTGAATACTTTTGAAATTTGGGGTCAATTATCTATAGGGAGTGTGAGATTGTGGCGACGTTACTCAGAATTTAAGTTGGATGGACTAAATGGAGTAGTACATCTGGTGTATTGTGTTATATGTGCATACCTCATATGCTGAAAAGAAAGTTGTATAAAATAACCATAAGGTAAAGGTCAACTACACTTTATACTATTAAATGTTGGATAATTAAAAAAAAAACACGTTCAAAAATTGAGTATGGCAGAAATGAAAATGTTAAAATAAATGTGTGCTAAAACCTTGAAGAATAGAATTAGAAATGAGAATATCCATGAACAGGTAGTGGTAGGGTAACATAGAGGTGATAAATTGAGGGAGAATCGATGTAGGTATTTTGGACATATTTATAGAAGACCTATCACTAAACTTGTGAGAAAGAGTTATATTGTAGCTCTTAATGGTAATTAAAGGGGTAGAGGAAGATCAAAACAAACTTTACATTATGTTGTAGAAAGGATATAATAGATCATGATTTAATAGAAGGTATGACCCTAAATAGAGCATAATGACGAGATCTGATTCATGTAGCCGACCACGACAATGTTGGGATAAGGCTTTGTTGAGTTGGAGTAAAACAATTACCTCTAAGTACTCTAGCACTAGCAGTAATCTATTTTGTATGAGGATTTGGAAGCTTTAAACTTAATGTATGCAATCCAAGAAGAACAACAAATGGAAGAGAGACTCGAAAGTCTTATGACTTTCAGATGTGTTTTTGTAAAAATAGAGAGCAAGAGGAAGGAGGTGGAGAATACGACAACTTTATAATCGAATTAGAGAACATCAGTATTAGGAGAATTGATACACATTCCTACATTTCCTTTTTTGAGTGGATCATGGCAGCCTTTTAAGTTCATTAAAGATAAACCTTCTATAAATGATAGGGAATATTAAAATAGAAAACCATTTCTGAGTTCATAACCAATGAATTGCCACTATATTGATTGAAATACATTTTTTTAAGATCATGTCTTTCAAGCTGAATATTTGATACATCGATTTATGACAAAACTTTGTGAGATCCATCAGAGCCATCCTTGTAAAATTTGCTTCACTTTTTGTCACTATATTATCTTGGCATGTAAATTGAGGTTAATGCTCCCAGAATGACAACCGAAGATGACAGAGTATGAAGGACCACTGTTATATGGTTGTCTTAATTGAATAAATCCAAATCTGAAAGTTAGAATTCCAGGGTCCCCCACCCTCCCGAAAAAATAAAAGAAAAAGGAATTACTTTGTTGATTTCATAGTAGGACCTAATTTTACATTCGAGTGGTACCTCAGAATGCCCAACCTGGAATATATTTCTGGCATTTCTGCTACAAGTCCAAGAGTTACAATTGGAATTGGTAGGCCTAATTCCGATTCCAAAGGTCTATTTAACTACTAGTCACCGGGGCATTAAAGTTTAACTCGATTATAAATGCTCTGCGTCAATATAATGTGTCAAGAAGTAATTGATAGCAAATCAACCCCAGAATTCTCTCTCTTCATCTGCCACGTGGGACTCTGGATTACTCTTTCTTATTTAGCTTCAGTAATTCCATTTTCGACTTTGTGAAAGGTTGATTAACTATGGCCAAGGATGCCCACCAAAGTAGAACATGGAAATGGATAATGAAAGAAGATTTTAGTCATGGAGAAGGTCAAATAGCATAGTGTAGGAAAGAGAAAATGTAGTTGATTATTGATGGTTATCATGCAATCCTTGAGATTTACTTAAGTGTGATGATTGTGTATTATCTCATATATTATCTTTAATTGACTAAGTTTGCTAATAGTCTTCAGTTTCACTTTCGATGTCTATGTGTAGCAGGTTATAATAGCTACAAATATTGCCGAGACAAGTATAACAATAGATGATGTGGTGTATGTGGTAGACTGTGGAAAGCATAAGGAGAATCGGTACAATCCACAGAAGGTGTGTGTTTTTTCTTCATGAACAACCACTAGATTAAGAATGCGAATTGTATGGAAGAAATTACTTTTATGATGTTGCAGCTCATGGACATTTGTTGCTATTATTTGGCCATAAAAGAGAAGGAAAAAAGTTGGTACATTAACTTTCACTAGACAACAGCATGATGTAGATTTAATAGTTACATTCTCGTTTGTTGCTTTACTTAGCTACCATATATTACATGTTTGATGCTCCCTGCATCCCAATTTTGGAGACCTCCTTTCCACCGATGGACCTTTGGTCCAACGGTACTTTTTGTCTTATAAAGATTTTGTCTTCTTGAAGTCAAGGGTTCAAGTCCCCCTTCCCATCCCAAAAAAAAAAAATTCTTTTTTTTAAAAAAAAGAGACCTCCTTTCCAATTTTGGTTCACCAAAATCCAAGTGTTCTTGGGAAGTCAAAGTACCTAATTGTAATAAAGGGTTAATATCCAATTTGGTCCCCTTTAATCGAGGGTGCTATGTGGTGTGGGTTATGTACCGACATAACTTGTGATGTAATTAACATGAAGTGACAATTCTCACCTTCAAACCCACAACCTCATAGTTGTTAGCCTGTCATTTTTACAACTACAGTAGGCAATGACCCCCTTATACTTTCCTAATTCAGCCTTCTATATTAATCGTTAGAAGTCTTACATCAAAAAGAAAATTAGTTTAGAAGTTATATAACTAGCAAGTGTTCAAGGTTGTGGACACTGTAAACTAATATCGAAACTTTTGAGTTTCTTTGGCCTAATGTTAATGATTGCGAAGATGGACTCCTAATATTCGTTTAAAGGAGCTTTTGAAACATTATGATGTATGTGGCATGTAGATTTATTTTTGTTGTGTAATAATTCTTCCGTTTTTTTTTCGTGCATTTGTATTTTTGTGTGCTTTTGTTTCATTTTTTCTTAAAAAAAATTTGGGTTCTCTTTGTTCTATTATTTGTTCCATTTTTTTTGTGTTTTTATTTTTTTGCTCTTTTGTTTCATTTCTCCTTAAAGTTCTTTTTGGGTTCTTATTGTTCTATTTTTTGGGCTGGTTTGTGAGGGTTTTTTTAGTGGGGAGGGTTGGGGGTAGGGGTGTTTCAAAGGGGAGGCATTAGGAGATTCCTGGAAAAGGTAGATCAATAATAAACAACAAATTATACAAAGAAGAACTATTGGCATGGCTATTCTATCAGGATTAATTCCATCCTTGATTCTAGTATATTTCTGCAATCAGATTCAAGTACCATTATGGCTTTCTTAACAATCTTTCATTGAAATGGGTGTCTAGTTTGGCTAGCCACACTCATAGTTTTCACAATTTTTTGGAGTTACAATAAACATACACCCTGGACATGGTGGGGCTTACACATAGACATGGCATCAGTATGAATTGCATAGCAAGTACAGTTCTCGATTCTTCGCTAAAATAAGTGTTCATGACCAGTCACACTCATTATAGTTGGGTTGGGTGACATAGAGATTAGACTGCTTTAGTACTTTTGAAAGTAGTCGGCAACAAAGTGGTCCCGCTATCTTAATTGCAAGTACCCATTTTTGAGAATCCCATGTTCTTGGAAACTCATTTTATCCATTTGGTGATTAAGAAAAATTGGGCAACCCAATAGATTGGCAGTGGCCTTGTATCCCATTATATAGTGATAAGAGGAAATTGATATCCAGACACATTAAACGATGGTCTCCCTCTTTGTATTTACAAGAACTGGTGTCTTCGGACTTCCTTGGAGAGGGGGAAAGGCATAGGGGATGGAATATCGACCTATGGTGTAAAACAATCTCAGTGAAGTTGGGTTGAATGTTGAGTACTGCACAAGGTTGTTTTGCCAGTCATCCCACATTCCCATCAGCAGGTGAGCAACATGCTATTTGCTGATCGTAGCTGTTAGCAGTTGAGCCGCATTGTAGTTGCTGATTGTAGCTGTTAGCAGGTGAGCCGCATTCTATTTGCTTGTGTTACTAACCACCAATTACATGGTATGTTGGCGACATAGCATACTCGGTTATGGTCTAAAAGACATTTGGCATTTGAAGTAGTATTTGATGAAGTAGTTTGAGCTGAAAAACTTTGGGACCACAATAAATGCAGCTCAATTCAGGAGGAAAATATTTGAGCAGTACAATGGGAACATTTATTGGCAGGAAACATAGCATCTTGCTCGGGGCTTTGGACACAGTTATTGCTTGATGAAGCACCTGTATAAGCTCTGTGGAATATAAGGCTTAAGATGCTTTAGTAGAAAGTACATCTGATGTAGGAGAGCGTTAGGAAAGTTAGGGTTCTATTGCCTGCAATTAAGTTTGTGGTGATTATTGGTTGGGGCAAGCTTGTAGAATTAGGGCTTGAAAGGGTGGAAGAACGGTTGCAAACCTTGCAAACAAGAAGGGCTGAAATTGGCTTTATTTTGGTGATGTTTGATTGTAGGTTTTGAGATTCAGGATTCCTGGAAAACCTGGACAGCATGTAATTTATGGTTTTCAATGTTGATTCAAAGGTCAACAGTTGGTAATGGGTTAGGGTTGATTAAGGCTTGATACGGTGGGTTCTCTGGGCTGAGAAATATCTGGTTCTGGAGCTTCGAACTGTAACCCAAGAGCAATATTTGCAGTTTTTTAATGGGTTTTGGGTTCCTGTGGTTGGATCTTGGTGAGGAAAGCATTGTATGTTGTAAATTGAAATATTCAGTGTTCAGAGGAATGATTACAAATTCTGTGCAGGTATCAAGGTGCCGAAGAAGAGAAGTAAGAAAAATAAGAAAACAGTCTAGAACTCCCACCTAGAATTCCCTATGAATCACCACCTTGGTAAGATTGCATAAATCAACAATCAAAGCTTCAAATAGTTTTCAAAAGTTTCATTCCTATGTATTGTAGGCATTACATAGACGTTTATAGGATAGTGAGACTAGGACTTCTAACTAAGAAAATTTGACTACAGCTGATTCACTGGCGTCTTCCTTCTTTTACATTATTGCTCCTGTATTTTGCATGGTAACTTCTAGTTAGATTTCTTCAAACTCCACTTGGTTCTAAGTGCTGTAGTTTGTTGCCATAGAAACTGTCGAGCATGGTTGAGGACTGGATATCTCAAGCAAATGCAAGGCAACGACGAGGAAGAGCTGGGCGTGTAAAACCAGGAATCTGCTTTTGTTTGTATACATGTCACCGATTTGAAAAGCTCATGCGCCCATATCAGGTATTCAGGGCTTCTTAAAAGATTAAGAGGAATGGAGTTTTTTAGATTTGCTTCCTTGGGAACTGACTGTTATGTAATCTTTCTGATTACCTGGCTATGTTTCTCTAAATGCCAAGATTCCCGAGATGCTGCGGATGCCATTGGTAGAATTGTGTTTACAGATAAAATTACTCTCTCTCGGTAACGTAAAGCCATTTTTGTCGCAGGTAAATTATATTATTCCATGGAAATGGGCGTTTAGTTACTAGTGCTTCTTGTGCATTTTGTTGCAAAATTTATCTATTATTTAATATTAGAACCTTGGTTTCCTGTTCTCAGGCTCTAGAACCACCAAGGGAAGAGGCTATCAATTCAGCAATCTCATTGTTATATGAGGTACCTAATGGTCTGTTTTACCGAGTCAAAAAAATAAAATATTTGAACTTTTTGCTGTCCAATTACATTGACCTTACATTGGGTTAATAAAAAATGGTGTGCAAAATAGCTGTGTCCTGGTCACAGTCCACAAGCAAAAATTAAGTCCTGATCGCATATGGAAGCTGTCATAATACTGACTGGAGGGACATGATTGGAAAGGCAAATCAGTGTATGCTTGGTTACTTAACACAGTGCTATGTTGTAAATTTGTTGTATATCTATGCTGTGTCAATCATTTAATTTTTTCACTAAAGGCGCGTTGAAGGAGATTTACACAATACCTACATGTTTCGTATTAGCTTGTGCTGGTGTGCTGCTTACAATTTTCCATGATGTTGTTCAACTTACATGGGCTTATATTATGCCACTGGACCCTTGTACAAGGTTACAGATTACTCTGATCTATGTGTTTCTATATAATTTCTGTTCAAAAGCGACATATAACTTTAAAATTTGCAACATCCTAATTTTATGTACTACCAGAATTACTAAAATTTAACCTAACCTCCATTGATATGTCTTGCTTTTTAATTATGTCAAGCTCATCTCTGAATAACTTGATGCCTTACAAGGTTGAGATCTTTGAAGCTGGGTTTGTCACAACTAAGTAGTGCCCTGCCAAAGCTTTGTCATTGGAGTGGCATATGTGTTATCTCTAGCTCTGAAAGAAACAAAATGGTGAAGAGAACTAGTGTAGCTTTCCAAATGAAAATCATCGTGAATACCTCCTGTCAAATCTGACTGCTCAAATCTGGATTCTTTTTATTGGGTATCCTTGATTTGTACTAGTCATTATCATTCTTGTTGTACCTACTGCTTTTGTCAATGTATATATTTTGCCGAATATAGAACTGAAATTTCAGTAAGACAGCAAAAAACACATATGTTATTTGTTTGCTTCCTCGCTGAAACTCCAACACAATCCCCATCACTTCTTCATAGTGATGGAGCTCTATTTTTTAATATCTCACAACTACTATGTTCAATGTATAGTGTGACTGCTTTTAGATGTTGCTTACTGGACATCGGCATATGTCATCCACTTAAACCATGTAAATTAATGGTCTATATTTTGTTGACCTTTCATGCAACATCTAATTGGCCTATGATTTTAGGTTGGCGCCATTGAAGGGGATGAAGAGTTGACACCTCTTGGATATCATTTGGCCAAACTCCCAGTTGATGTATTGATTGGAAAGGTGTACATTAATTCTTCAGTGCTATTATGCAATGCTTAATATATATATATAATTGCAGCACGTGGATATTGAATGCTGTTGGTTTTCTTACATGAGAAAATGCTCATGATTAGGAATGAGTACTTTTGAAAATATTTCCCTTTTCAGCAAAAATATATTTTGGTATCTGCTGCAATTCGTGACTTCTACTTGATGCACCCAGAGTTATCTTTATATGCTCACCAGACAGTTAGAGTTTGCAAGCCATCATATAAGCCTATCACTGCCACTTCTTACACAGAGATCTTCATTCCTTTTGCCTGTCCTTCCTCCATGATTACCAATACACTGGTTAAGATCCTGTTTTGTGAAAATTATTTTTTTAATTGTCTTCTTCATTTTTCTCTTCAACATGAGTTAATTCTTGATAAGATTTTTTTTGTATTTTCTTCCAAATTGAGATCATTTAGTCCAATATGGGTGCTTGAATTTAGCATTCAACATTTTGGACAATTGTATCTCATATTTTCTTTCTCTTACCTACCTTAGCCCCTTGGGACATCTCAGCAGCAGTTTTCTTTCTGTCTACCTGTCTGTGTGTGTGTGCGTGTGCATGTGTGTGAGCTCATGCCTGCTCATTTGTAAGCAGAACAGTTATCATATACTGCTGCAGACTATTATTTTTTGGATAATGTAATTTGATATTATCTTCTCTTGAACTGCAGATGATGATATATGGGGGGATATTTGGTTGCTTATCACCTATTCTCTCTATTTCAGCATTTTTGAGCTATAAATCACCTTTTGTCTATCCAAAAGATGAGGTTTGTCTTTTCCAAATACTATACTAATTTCATTATACTCTGCTAACAGAAATGACATTACATCAAGCAACTTTCATGGGTAAATTGCAGTTGCAAAATGTTGAAAGAGCGAAATTGGCATTGTTGACTGATAAGTTAGGTAGTGCAACTGATTCAGACAATGGTAACAGGCAATCTGACCACCTAGTGATGATGGTTGCATATAAGAAGTGGGACAAGATTCTACGTGAGGTTGGTAATTGTGAGCATTTACTTTGAAATATTCTTCAGAAAGCAAATGATGTGCTCTCTTAAATGGCTTCTCTGTTCCCCCTTCCCAACCAACCTTATGGCATGTCATGTTTGCTGTCACTGGGTCTAGGATGCTAAGCAAGGTGAAATCAGTACATGTTCGGTTAGCTTGTTCCAAATGCTGACTGATTGTAGGAATTAAAACCTCCATTTGAATTTGATCATGGTATCAAATATCTGAAATTTAATCCGGCTCTTGCAATAAACTGTTAAGAGTTCTTATTTTATATTATTTGTAGTGTAGGGTAATATTATAATTATCCGTAATATTGGTTTATTAAAAATAAGAGAGTGCAAGACAACATATCCTTCAACCACACAACATTATTTCACAATCTCTTTCTTTCTCTTTTCTTCCCCGTCTCATTCTCTCTTTAAACCCTAATATTTGATTACTCAAGTTTTAATGTAAACATTGTTTTTGTTCTCGCAAGTCTGAAGCTAAAAAGGTATCGGTGTCAGCATATCATTTGAAGTGTGTTCATGTAGCTGACATCAAGTTGTTAATATAAGGCTATATAGAGTTTATATCAATGTGTACTGTTTATGATTAGATATGCTTTCTTTTGGTTCACATATTAGTGATTAAATCTAATTTAGTTTTGTGGTCCAACATTAATGGGAATGCATTGCCCAGATTCTCAAACTTCAACCCTAAAATAAATGATTTTCGCAATTACTAGTTCGACATGGATTGCCCCATGCAATGTGAGGAGAGCTTTGTATTCCACCTAGAAAATTAGGCTTAGCCAAGGTTGGTTTGTATGGTTGAGGGGCCACTCCCTCTGTTCCCATTTAGTTTTGAGTTGGATGCCTCTTAACATCATGATTCATCAATACTAGGGTCATCCAAGGTTGTTTTACATGATTGAGGGGGCTTCTTCACTCATTGTCTCTTAGTTTTGGGTTGGATACCTCTAACATGGTATCAAATTGGGTGATCAGTGGGCCAATTCTCTCATCCATGTGAATTGTCTGGTGTATTTGTCTTTTTGATAAAGATCAATTTGATGGCCTAAATGGGAGTCCGAGTTGCACGTTCGAATGATTAGAGCTATCCAAGGTTGGTTGATATAGTTGAGGGTTCGCCGTGCCCATTGGTATTTGGATTTGAGTTGGATGCCTCTAAAGATCCAAGAATGTTTTACAACTTTTGGGTTTTTCCTTTCCTTTATCCCAACCCTAGGGCCCCGGGGGGAAGATTTGGGTGTATTGAATTAGTGATGGGAGATGCTTCTCATCAAAGAAAGGCACTTTAAAAGCTAAATTGCCTTAATTATCTGCCCCATTTGTTCATTTTTTTTAGTTTTTTCTCTGTTCTTATTTTTTTGGCTCAACTTACCTGGAAGTTTAAGCTCATTAAAAAAACATGCCTATATTTTGAAGTTCCTCTTTTAACCATTAGCGTCGTAGATTGAATAGTTTAGCTGGTAATATGTTAACCATGAGAAATGGGAACCACACTCCACGACACAAATCTGACCAATATATGTATTGTTGTAGTAGGTGTTTTTTTTTCTGTTATTACGCCTAGTGGATCCTATTCTAGTCTAGCTGAACCCGTATTATAATTTTTGAGTACTTTGAATGTTTTTACCAAAAAAAAATGTTCGTACGGAGTTAGGAGCTTACGATTACTCCACAACGCGAGGATGACAAATAGATATCAGGTAGTATTTTTTGGGTTATTACGACTAGCAGATCCTAGTCTGGTCCAGCTGAATCCCTATTATAAATTTTGAGTAGTTGGAGTGTTTTTACCAAAAAGGTATGTTCTTAAGGAGCTATGAAGCACATACACTTTCAAGAAGGTGATGCATCTGTGTCATACACCTATATTTTTCAAACACTTTCCAACACGTGTCCATAATTAAATGATAAAATTTTAATTTTGGACACGTGTATGACACTTCTTTGGTGAAGTGTCCAACATTTCTTTAGATATTGTCTGCTGCTAAGCAATTAAACATGTGTCGATATGTGATTAACAAAGTTTAAATATTTGACTAATAAGTATCTTATACTATGAGAGAATATATAATTATCAAGACTAGACATGTTAAAGTATTACTCAAAATATATTGACAAAAGCGAATGATACATAACATATTTAGAGAACAGCAACTGAGAAAATGAGAGCAATCATTTAGATTCTATAAGTTTGGCACACGACTATGAAAAAATTGATGATTATTGACTATTAAGTTGAGGGAAGGAAGAGACAATCAACATGAGAGAGGCAGAGAGTAATATATTCTACCCTACCTCTACTCTCAACTTATATAGTTACCTAGTAAAGTATAAAAGACTAGTTGATGTAGGACAATAGTATAAAATCAAAATTGGGGCTGTTTTGGAGTTGTAAACAATACTCAGGAACAGTCATTATGCTGTGAACAGTAATTTGAATAGTAACTTTGACTAGGAATCGCTTCTAGGGTTCCTTAGGCATCATACCTCGGGGTTAGAATTGCATCACATAACTCAAGAAATATATAATTGTTAAAATTTCTGAAATATCTCTCTATATCTGTTATTAAAAATATCATTAACTATATATAGAGTTCTAAGGACTCCTAATTGCTAAAGATTAGGATTTCAAATTCTCTAAGAGTCCAAAACCTCTATATCACTAAAAATTAGAAGATTAAAATAAACAAGAACTAAGACTCTAAATTCTAGCATATTCAATACTAGAGTCTGACCCAAAAGACTATGACCCATTCCAGAAATTATAGAAATTACAAAAATAATTTAACTCTAAAAAATATAAAAAAATCACATAAAATACTAATACTACCAAACTAACTCAAAGAAACTAAAAATAAGACTCCATTTATGCTTATGCAAGCTCCCAAGTGGGCTCCGCATCATTCAACATGTGCCAAATTAAAGCTTGAGCCTTGGAAGCATATTTCTCTCGCCTTTTATAAACTTTATAAGGCTATTGTCATTTGTCCCCATCACTAGTATACCCTTAAAGGTGTATACTTATTACAACCATAGAAACAATACTCCCAACACTCCCCCTCAAGTTAGAGTATATATATACCCTCAACACTCCCCCTTAATCTATTTGTTCTGAGCTTAAATTATAATATATATACTCTAACTTGAAGGGGAGTGTTGAGAGTATTGTTTTTATGGCTGGAGTATATATATATTATAATCTAAGTTTGGAACAAATAGCTAGTAGACAAGTACAATTCAATGCTTTGGTGAACATATCTGCAAATAGATTCTCAGATTTCACAAATGGTGTTGCAATATCTCTATTTAGTATCTTGTCTAGAATAAAATAACAATCATCTTCGATATGTTTAGTTCTCTCATGGAATACTACCACTAGTTGTTTCTCACTTTTCTATATAACCACGTTACCTCTCAAGAAAGTACAATATATTATAGTTGATCTTCGATCCGAAGGAGGGTCAGCCTAATCAACATCTGTAAAACCTTCCACTTTAAAGCGTCTATTGACTTGATTCAACCACCTAAGTCTACGAGCACGTTTGTGGTATAGAACAATGCAAATGATTGCATTCCAATGTGGTATTTTAGGGCATCCCATAAATTAGCTTACAACACTAACTCCATATGCAATATCTGGTCCAATAATAGTGAGATAATTTAGCTTTCCAATTAACTTGTGATACTGTTTTGGATTTTCAAATAATGCACCATCATCTATTAACAACTTCTAATTTGGATCCATAAGAATATCAATTGGTCCACCACCTAGTAAACCGCCTTCCTCTAATATGTCAAGTACATATTTGTTTTGAGACAAACATATGCCCTGTTTAGATCTGACAACTTCAATCTCCAATAAATACCTGAGTTTACCTGAATTTTTAGTATAAAATTGATCCAGCTAGAAGACTTTCAACTTTACAATACCTTCAGAATCATCACCAATAATTATAATATCATCCACATAAATAACCAGTATAATATACCCTACATTAGTATGTCGGTGGAAAACAGAATAATTTGTATGACATCGGAGAAGACCAAACTCAAATTGCCAATTTACCAAACTACACCCTCGGTGACTGTTTTAAACTATACATAGATTTTTGTAGTCAACAAACACTGTGATGATATTTCGCCCGAGCGATAAACCCAGGTGACTCGTCCATGTAAACTTCCTCAGTCAAGTCACCATGTAAAAAGACATTTTTCACATCTAACTTAAATAAAGGCCAATGAAGGTTAGTAACCAAAGAAATCATTACACAAACAGAAGAAATTTTAGCAATAGGAGAGAGAGTTTCTTTATAATCAATGCCATAGGTTTGAGTCTTAGCAACAAGTTTTCCTTTGAGGCGTAGAACCATCAGGATTAAATTTGATTGTATAATCCACTGACAACCAACAATCATTTTACGAGTTCGTAAGGGAACAAGCTCTCAAGTCACATTATATTGTAAGGTATGCATCTCCATTTCCATAACTTGCCTCACCCTATAATGTCTTAGAAATAGAGACAGTAGACAACTGAGATATTAAATATGAGAAAGTAAGAGACAAGGTATCATAAGAAACAATATTAGTAATAAGGTGGTTAGTAACACAAGACAAGATTGAGTACCTTTATGAAGGTAATGGGTAAAGAATCGGGTGCAACTTGGGAACTAGAATTAGAAGACAGTGAGTGCACCTCAGTTGATAGTCGGTGATGATGAGAGTATACACAGAGTGGGGTAGAAGAGGATGGTGGTGGTAAAGCTAGAGGTAGGACATTAGGTAGTAAAATGACATACGACAATGGAAGAGGTAGGGGTGAAGGTGACTACTCAATGTCAAGATCAAGGGGATCTATAAAGTATTGGACTATAATAACCATATCCTTTTGTGTCTATAATAACCAAGAAAAATACATTTTGTAGCAAGAGTGGCGAGTTTATCAAATTTGGGATCCAAGCTGTGAACATAATGGGTGCACCCAAAGAAAACAAAGGAGAATTGAGGAAAAAGGAGATGTGGATATTGTCTATTTAACACAAAAAGAACATACAATAAATGAGATGACAAGCAGTAAAAGCAGCATCACTCCAAAAATATCGAGGAACATGCATTTGAAATAAATGTGTGTAAGACACTTCCAACGGATGACGATTCTTTCTTTCAGCCACATCATCTTGTAAGGGTGTGTGGATACATGAATTTTGATGAATGATGTCAGTCTTATGAAGATAAAGATAAAAGGAGTCAGAGTCATATTCACTAGTATTATTAGAACATAAAATTTGAATATGACAATCATATTGGGTTTTGATTTCTTTACAAAATGTCGCAAATGTAGAAAACAATTCAGAATGAGCTTTCATAAGAAATAACCAAGTCACTCGAGAAAAATCATCCACAAATGTCACAAAATAAGAAAATATATTAGATAAAATATTTTTTATTGGATCCATACATCAAAATGGGCCTCAAATGGATTAGACACACGAATATTGACTCTATACTGAAAAAACACGTGGTGATGCTTACTAATTTGACAAGTTTCACAAGACACAAACGACATATAACTAAGATTAGGAACTTGATGATTCAGGCTTTGGAGAGATGGATAATGAAGGCGACAATGTCACTAAAATGAACATGATGAGATCTGAAGTGTTCGGGGAGATGGATTAAGATCAAAATGATAGAGACCATTAGTCTCATGCCCCGTACCAATCTTCCTCTTCATTTGGAGATCTTGAAACACACACTAAGAGGGGAAAAAGGTTATTGAACAGTTAAGGAAACGAGTAATCTTGCTAATATAAAGTAAACTGAAGGGACAAATAAAACATATGATAATGACATATTATGACTCAATTGAGTAGTTCCCAAACTTGAAACCTTAGAGGAAGTGTCATTAGCAAAAGTTACAATGTGCGGGGAAAAGCATAATGATTAGTATAAGATACACTAGATAAACCAGTCTTGTGATCAGAAGCGCCAAAGTCTGGTAAACAAGTGGAAGCAGTATCTAATTGGGCAAAAGGTGTAGTGAAGGAAAGTGATACTGCGTGCAAGGATCAAAATGTCGTGTCGACACGTCCGAAACATTTCGGAATTTCAACACTCCGAAACGAAACAGTAGTTGAATCACAAAATTTTAGTGTTTCGATCGAAACGGTACTGTTTCGGTCGAAACGGCACTGTTTCGGACCGTTTCGACGAAACAGTGATATATTCAGTTCACTATAAATAATTACATTTAATACCCATTATAATTATATTTAATAACCCACTATAATTACATTTAATTTCCACTACTCTACTGGCTTTTATATTTTTTTGTTATAAGAATAAATAATTATATTTAATACCCTACTGTAATTATATTTAATACCCCACTGCTGTGCAAGTCTTGTATTTTTTTTTTTTTTTGTTATAAGGATTAACAATTACATTTAATACCCTAATGTAATTACATTTAATACCCACTGTAATTATATTTAATACCCATTGCAATTACATTTAATTTTGAAGTATACATAAGTACCATTAATTTAATTTGATATCCTTCATTATTAGTATTATAATAAAATAGTATTATTAATTGAATAATATTACTGTAATAATATGAGTTGGAGTAACTATTGTCATCATATTTATGTCACATATGGAGTTTCTCTAAGTAGTTATCCAGAGCCTACACCGATGTATGAGTCAGCTCGACACTCCACAGGGGATGGATGTAGCCATTTAAGTATGTACTCATTAGCATTTCATGTGTATTATAAGGCCTTAATATTATGTAAAAATGTGTTTATTCATAAAAAATAAGTGTTTGAAACTAATTTAAGTGATTTTTGTCTCATGTCAAGCCTTTTTTTCCCTCAAATTTAAATTTATTCTTATATAAATGGATGTTAACCCAATAAATATGTTGAATTAATCAATTATTTAGCTTATCTTTATAAATTAATGGATTGTATTTGTGTTTCTATGCGTTTCTATATTTTTTCTGCGTTTCCGAAACGTTTCTATTTTTGAGCTGACCGAAATGGTACTTCGAAACAAAATTTCGATCCTTGACTGCGTGTTGTAGGGACATGAACTAAACATACTTCTCTTGTGTAATAATAATTAACTCAGAGTTAGGAAGTGCCGAACGCGAGGATGGTGCAAGCAACGAGGGAGTATCCTCTTGATAGGAGACCTGATTGGCCATGCCAGATGGCTTGTCATGTAAATCCCAACAATAATCAGTAATGTAGTTAGTGCGACCAAAATAAGTACATACACGAGTATCTATATGACCTCCACTATATCCCCCTTGAGATTCATGACCAACATGATCGTCGCGAATGCCAGGACCACCTTGAGTACTACCACTGTTGCCATTAGAGGCAACTAAGGCTGAGCGATCATCAGATGAACCATGATCAATGCCAGAAGTAGAATGATCATCTGACAAAATAGCATGCTATAAGCGGGAAAAGACATCTGAAAGAGGAAGGTTGGGACCTCCCAAGATCTGACACGAATAGACTTATACTCGGGCTTCAAACAAACAAGGAAGTGAACAACATCCAAATCCTCACGTTGTCGCTGCTTAAGTGTAATTTCAGTGGCGAACAGGTGGTCCATCCTTAATTCCTCACAAACTCCCATAACTTGGGAATAATAGTCTTATAAACTCAAAGTCCTCTGTTCAAGGCAAAAATATTATTTGCAGACCTCATAAGCATGAGGAAAATTACTAGTGCTAGAACATGGTTGTCAAGCGATCCCATATTTCTTTGGCAACATCGAGATAAATCAATGTAGATCTAATACGAGGCTCAATACTATTCAACAACAATGAAATAATTTGTGCATCCTCTTGTTCTCTTGTTCCCTGTGATCAAATCCAGGGTCACTTTCTTTGGGTTTAACTCCCACCAAGTGCTTTTTAAGACCTTTGCCTTTAAGAAAAACTTGAATAGATCGGGACCATAAAACATAATTTGTATTATTGAGCTTGATTGAAGGTATTAATAAATGTAGCCGAGGAAAGGGTAGGTGGCATGGTTGGGACAAGAGGTGGAGTTTCAGTCTTAGACTCCATATGAATACCAAAATTCTGAGATAAACCGGGAAAAATAGAGAAAATAATGCAAAACAAGTCAATTTAACAGTACAAAACCTGGTGAACAGAAGAACTAAGGCTACTAATAAAGAGAACCAACTTAGGAGCTTGAACCAACACAGATCTGCTGAACTGACGCAATTCTAGGTGAAGAAGACTGAAAGTAAGGTAGATCTGTGTTGAACCTGTTGTAAAAGGCCATTGAACCGGAGTAAATAACCTGAATCAGCCTGAACCGCAGTAAACCGGAAACTGGACCGGTCTGGCACCACCTGGATTGGTTAAGCTGGACCAATGTACTTATCTGGATTGGGCTTTGGACTGGCACCACAAACCAAATGGGCTCATCTGAACAAAATGGGCTTTAGATCAATTGGGTTGAGCCCCTGAACCATTTGTGTCTTATAACGTGACAGATTGATCTGGACGAAGGAAACCCTAGTTTCTAACAGTGCATGTGCCAAGGAAACTTCAAACTTCGGCAACGACAACAACACTAATCTAGACCACGGCAACAACACCACTCTAGACCACCGGCGACAACCACAACACCAATCAATTGAGCCTTCTATTCTACTTCTCACGCTCAACTTATATTTATATTTACTTAGAAAAGCATAAAAGACTAGTATACCTTTAAAGGTGTACTATTACAACCCTAGAAACAATAATCTCAACATTGACGATTATGATGTTAGTCTAAAAATTCACGCTAGATTACTAAATATAATATTTACTTATCATAAAGTACTATTTTTTTTATGAATAATCTATCATTATCACTATATTTATGATAAATTATATAATTTTATATATAAAACACAACTATCTATAGCGTGTCCCAACGTGTTTGTGTCCGTGTCCTACTTTCTTCAAAAATGTCGTGTTTGCATATCCGAGTCGTGTTATGTCGTGTCCGTGTATGTGCTTCTTAGGTAGGGAGTTAGGAGGTTACAATTACTTTTGAGGGGTTTATGTATCTTGAGGTTGCTTCTCCTAAAAGCTCACGGTTGCTGGAGAAAGAGGAGTTCTGCCTTCTACAGAAATTTTGCAGAGGAAAAAAAACACAAGTTCTCCTAGTTTCTCCCTATACTCCAGCTCATGAAAAATCAAAATTCTACCAAGATGTGGGCAAAGTGATACAAGCTTGTTCCTGTTTGCATCACTCCATTATAATTTGTTGACATAAAGCTTAGACGAAACTGAATTTTTCTAGATTGCATGGTTTGTGCATTGGTGCGCAAAATAAGAGCAAAGATTTTGCCTCTCAGTTTTGAACAAAAACCTGAACAGATTCTTGAATTTGATAGAATTAATAAATAGTTACTTCTGACCTTAGCATATCTAATCTTGATGACAATCAGATGGATTATAACACTGCTAGAGAAGATCCCCGCCTTTGTTAACTGCACACTCACATATATTTACGTTATGGATTTTATTTTAACTTTTGGGACCAGTGCTTACTAATGTAATAAATTTCATTTTTGCAGAACGGTGTTAAAGCTGCACAACAATTTTGCAGTTCTTACTTTTTAAGCAATTCAGTTATGTACATGATAAGGTTCAATTTCTTTTCTATGGAGTTTTATGTTACCTTAAGCCTAGTGTTTGCTACATCATTACTGTTTTGGTTGTCACTAACAACGTTAAAGGCATTTAAATATTGTGAAGAGACAATCACTTGTAACTTATGCCTCCAAGCCTTAAAAAATATCTCGCCACTTCTTAGAAATTCACAAAGCATGATCTTTTTCTTCATCCAAGTTCATAGGGTTATGCAGACTAGACAAAATCCGAACCTTGCCCTTAACAAGACTTACTCATGTTTTTTTTTTTTGGCCATAATTTTCTGCTAAAAACTATAACACATTTGTCAAAGAAATAACTTGAACTCACTCATCACATAATGTCCTTGGTATTCATTATCAAGGATCAAAATTTTATTTCGAAACGTTTCCATTTCCAAAGAGACCGAAACAAATTAGCGATATAATCGAAAATTGAAACTTTAATATTTCGAGGTATTCTATAATGTTTCGGATATTTTGTTATATTTCAATGCATGCACAATTATTTTGGAATGTTTAAAGATACTTCGATATATTTCAACCAATTTTTTGAAAAATAATTTTTTTATTATATTTTCGAAACGGGTCGAATCGTTTGTGAAGCACGTCAAAACGTTTCCGTTTCCTTGGTGACAAAACAATACATCTAAACGAAATTTTGATCCTTATTCATTATCTATTCACTGCAATCCTGCTAGATGTGGTGTATCACGTCTAAACTTTGTTAATCTGTATGCATCAATTTAAAATCTAGAAGATATATACACAAGAGTCCCAAATAAAAGGTGGCGTTGATGGTAGGAATGATTTTTAAACAAATTGTTCAATTATTTTTTCCATTCTACATCCTCTTCTTATTTTCTAATTGCTGCTTGTTAGGGACATGCGGATACAATTTGGAACATTGTTAGCAGACATTGGACTTATCAATCTTCCAACAGGGCATCAGGTGTTTTTGCTATCAAATATTCATCTGTTATGGTTGTAATTCTTAAACTTTCGTATAGCGATATCCTAGACTGTCCAGCGTTTTATATAAATCTAAGTTTTCTGTGTAGTTGAATTGTGTAAGTTGAATGTCCTTTGGTAAATTCCATAGTTGTTCATTCATTCCACAATAAACCCGGAGTGCATGTGTATAAATTTCTTTCATGTAATTCTTTGTTTAGTTATTGTAATTGAAGAAGAGTTGTGACTTATTATAATGCGGAATAATTCAATTATTTTATTTTTGTTATCTTTGCATGTTTGACCATAGTGATTGTCCACTATGGAACTGTTGTCCTTGATGTTACTTCCATATATATTTCAGTTCTTAAGTTTTATGTCTTAAAAGGTAGCTCTTTATCATTATTTCTTTCAAGGGTTTTAATTGGAAGTATTTTTGGATTAGATTGAAGGAAAAAAGAAAGAAAAACTTGATTGGTGGTTTTCCGATACATCCCAACCATTCAACATCTATTCAAGTCATTCCTCAATTGTGAAGGTAAAACATTTTTTTTTTCAGGCTCTAGTAAAATTTAGACATTGGTGTGCATTTTACTAGACCGCGCAACTGATGGATATTAGTGACGTCATGTGCAGTAGTAGTTGTATGTTTGTATTTGGCTCTTTGAGCTTGTAAGCAAATTCAAGCATTTTTTGTGGTGGTTAACCACTTAATAATTACATCTCATAACACATTATTACCTCACACATACGCTCTGGTGGAATCATCAACTGATTTCTGGTAATTGACTCAGGGACTTACTGAGCACCCTTTACATTTCATTATATTTGTAAGACCTCAAAAAATGCTAGCATATACTGGTTGTGGATTTCCTTCTACTTATCATCATTAAAAGTTGTTTTGAGCTTTTAAAAATATACCCCAAACGATCAAATAAACAAATTTCTTCATCTATATACTAAAGGAAGGTGTCAATTCTGCTCATATTTACTTCAACATGCCTAAGAAATCCTTTTGTTGTTGTAGTTAACTTACCTGGCAGTTTTATATCATAGGAGATATAAAAATATTTATTGAATAGGATTGTTGAACTCCAAATTTATCAATGATTTCTATTAGTGAAAAACCTGTTCATGGTTGGGTAAATTATATGACTAATAGAATGGTCATACAGAGAATGGCATCATGTCTGATCCAAGTCATAAGAAAGCCCATACTCTTCCTTATTGCTTTCTAATGTTTCACAAAAAAAATATTTGGTTGTACTCCCCATTTGAAAAATTAATTGTACCAACGGATTATTCCAAAAGATTTAATAATTATTGTGAGATAACGCAGAACAGGTTTTTGTTTTTTTGGTGGTACAAGGGAGGGCCAAGGCCCTAAAACACACAACTCTACTAGTAAATCTAGCAGGATCAGAAGGAAACCTTGGAACCAGGTTGGTTCTTGACACTATAATTAACTAATGGGTATAATTAAATATTAGATCATTGTTAGTGCAGTTTTTGTAAACTACGTATGTGTCCGAGTTAAAAAAAAAAACTACGTGTCTATGGAAAATGGGTAAAAACCAAAATTTGCACCTTATGCTTCTCTCAGGGGATTTGAGCTCCTGTAGATATTGATCCTCAAATTCCTCTGCAGGCAATACTATGTGCAGGTCTATATCCCAGTGTAGCTGCCACAGAAGAAGGCATTGGTGGGACAGTTCTTGCCAGCCTTAAACAGAAGGCAGGTTTCACGGCAAAGGGCCGACCTGTGTGGTATGATGGGAGAAGAGAAGTTCACATACACCCTTCTTCTATCAACTGTAGCTTAAAAGCTTTTCAGTATCCATTTCTCGTCTTTCTTGAAAAGGTTTGCAGTATTCGAATTATATTAGCTCATATTCCTTATTAAGCACTTTCACATTTTTGACTTAAATGGCAACAACTTAACAAATTGGTTTTTCATTTGCATAATCTCCTGTAACTTATTGGTGTGTTTGTCTTTACACATTCTATTTTTCTTCTAATTGCTTATTTTTTTCTGCTTTCCTTCTAGTAAAATCTTGATTGTTTAGCATTATTCATTTTGTCGCTTATTGTCTGCTAATATCAGGATGAGATGGCTGCTGAATTTTATCAATATCTTAGAATGCTCATTTGATCTGATCATTGGGTCAGTTAGATTTTGAGGTTTCTGTGGTAAATTTCTTTTATGGTAAGCCTAGCAAGAAATCCACATCAAACTGATGCCTCGTCTGGGGCCTGGGCTAAAGTCGATATTATGCCAGATACATGGTCTTCAAAGAATAATAATGGCATCACTTTCTATGAAAAAACCTAGATCAGAATATGGAGAGAAATTGAATGTAACAAATTACTTGAAAAGTTATCAAAATGAAAATCATATTGGGAGCTTAGAGATTTAGCAATATTGAAATCATGGGGAGATTAGAGAAAACACATTTTCTCATAGAATTAGAATGTCTGAGGTAAAACTGTAAATGTAATATTGAAGAAAATGAAGACAACGAAAGTTTTAGGATTTGATGGTATACCTATTGAGGTTTGAAAGTATTTAGGTGATGTTGGGGTAGTATTATGGTTAACTAAATTATTCAATTAGAGAGACTTGCAGAATTGCTCAAATTATTGAGGTATTAAACTAATGAGTCATGCAAGAAAACTTTGAAAGATAGTGATCAAACAAAGAATAAAGTTTGAAAAACAGTATTTTGGAATCAGTTTAGATTTATGCTTGGGAGATCAACAGGGGAAACTATATGTTTTCGTTGAATACTAATCAAAAGGTACAGAGAGAAAAATAAGCATTTTTATATGATTTTTGCAAACTTAGAGAAGGCATATGATAGTGTCTTTAGAGAAATATTATGGCGGGTTTTAGATAAGAAAAAAAGTTACTATTAGGTACCTTGATGTGATTAAGGATATGTACAAAACCGTGTTGACTTTAGTGAGAACAATTCCGCGAGAGACTAATGAATTCACACTCCTATAGGCTTACATCAAGGATTTGTTTTGAGTTCATTTTCTTTTTTGCAACATTCAGGAACTTCTATTGTGTATGTTATTTGCGGATGATATAGTATTAGTCGGTGAAAGTAAAGAAGAAATTAATAATGAGCTAAAAAACTGGCGAGAGGCTCTGGAAACAAGATTTAAGATAAGTAAAACTGTGACTAAATATATGGAATGTAATTTTAGTAAAAGAAAAATTTGAACCGATAAAATAGTAAAAATTGTTGGTCAAGAGATATCAAAGAGTGAGTATTTTTTTGTATTTATGGTCGATTATTCATAGTGTAAAATGGTGATGATGTTACTTGAAGAATTAAAGCGGGTAGATTAAATGTAGGAATACATCTGGTATATTGTGTAATAAATACATACCCCTTACAGGTAGATTAAATGTAGGAATACATCTAGTATATTGTGTAATAAATACATACCCCTTACGATCTAAGAAACATGAATATGCTTAATAAGGTGACATATCTATGTCGGACACTGATACTCTTCGAACACTTTTGGACATTTATCTGATACTCTTTTATCCGTATTCGTAACTAAATGGTAAAATTTTAATTTTGGATACAGGTCCAACACTCATTTGGTGACCTGTTCCACATTTCTTTGGGTTATGTCTATAGCAAAGAATAAAGATATGTTAGACATGTAATTATCAAAGCTTAAAAGTTTGACACATGGCTACATTATACTATGAGAGAAAAAAAAATTATTTAGACTAATCATGTTAAAGTTGTATTTAAAAGATGCTTAAAAGTATTGTTAATGAAGAGGAATTGAGGAATGGAGAAAATGAGAGTGATAATTGTAATTGTGTATGTTTGTTACACATTGAATTTTAGAAAATAGGTAATGATGACTCCTATAATCTTTTATTCTAAAAATTCACTATTATTTTATCTATACTTGTGTTAAATCATATAAGTTGCATATAAAACATAGGTATTTATTTCTTAGCCATTTCTTTGACCCGTGTTCATATCCGTGTTTTTTAGTTCAAGACAAAAAAGAAAATGTTCCTAAATGTTGGGATAACTAAGAAACAAAACGTTTAAAATTTGAGTATGACGGCAATGAGCTAAGATGGATGTATGCTAAAAGTACAAAAAATGCAATTAGGAAAGAGAACTAGAAGATAAATTGGGAGATAATCGACTTAAATGGTTTTAACATATTTATGGACAGCCTATTATCGCCCCGATGAGAAAAAGTAGTGTAATAGCTATTTACGATAAACGAATGGAAGAGGAATACCAAAATTAATTTTAAATCAAATAGTAAAGCATTTAATAACTTTTGTTTTGAGAAAAAAGTATGACCTTAAATAGAACACTATAAAGTATCTAACCCCCTGTAACGCTCGAAAATTTACTCTGGAAGGTATTACTATCTAAAATCATCAAATCATGAAAGCAACTATAATAAGTATTAAATAATAAACTATTCATCCATCTGACAAAGAATAAATACTAAAGCTAATAAAATACTGTAATTTCTCCAACTTACAATTTAAAACTAAATAATATCTAGCAACGGAATAATTAAACTAACAAAAATATTGTTTCACAAAAATCTCTCCAAATTCAATAATCAAAACTACATCTCTAAGCCTCCATTTCAGAATCTTCATACTGACCCTCTCCAGCCTCGAGATCAACCAGCTCATTCTATCTGAGCTCTTCCTCTAGATCATAATTTGAAAAAGATGTAGTTTGTAGGGGTGAGCATTAAGCTTTGTAGGAAAATCCTCTCAAGCTTGAATAAGGTTTTGAAAACATATAAAACGAGTTGGTCACATTTTACAAAATATTATATATAACTTTTGAAATAAAACAATGATAGTTTATCAGATCTCAAGTTTACGTAGTAGCAATAAATTAAATGAAGAAGTAAAACCAACATTACCCCGTTTTCATCCATCCAAGCTTCCCATTACCAACATTGTATCTTAGGTATGTTGTATGACTTAACATGAATACACACATTGAGAATATCTTGACCCACACAAACACTCAATCCTCGCAAGGATACATAACTTTAGGAAGAACGTATAACGACGTATCGACAGAAACTCAGGAATAGTATACTAACCCTCAACCTCGATACCAGCGAATAATGGTTTGATCCTCACAAAGTACCAACTCCACTACGAGTGGTAGGGAACCTTCAAACTTACTCGGAGTAAAAAACGCATCTACCCACTCTACGATACCTGGTCATTGGTCACCTATGTTCATCCAAACATCCACACAAGAGATACAATACTCAACCAATTTCTAAGCCTCCACTTCAGAATCCTCATACTGACCCTCTTCAGTCTCAAGATCAACCTGCTCATTCAATCCGAGCTCTTTCTCTAGATCATAATCTGAAAAAAATGTGGTTGTAAGGGGTGAGCAGATGTGGTTTGTAAGGGGTGAGCACTAAGCTCTGTAGAAAAATCTTCTCAAGCTTTAACAAGGTTTTGAAAACATATAAAACGGATCGGTCACATTTTACAAAATATCATATATAACTTTTGAAATAAAACAGTGCCAATATATCTGATCTCAAGTTTACGTAATAGCAATAGATTAAATGAAAAAGTAAAACTAACATTACCACGTTTTCATCCATCCAAGCTTCTCATTACCAACATTGTATCTTAGGTATTTAGTATGACTTAACATGAATACACACATTGAGAATATCTTAGCCCATACACACGCCCAATTCTTGCAAGGCTACACAACTTTAAGAATGGCATATACTGACGCATCGACCGTGACGAATTTAACCCAGGAATAGTATACTAACTCTCAGCCTCGATACCACGTGAGCGAATAGTAGTTTGGTCCTCGCAAGGCACCAATCCCGCTACGAATGGTAGGGAACCTTCAAACCCACTTGGAGTAAAAAACGCATTTACCCACTCTACGATACCTGGTCAACGGTCACCCATGTTCATCCAAACATCCACACAAGATATACAATACTCAACTAATTTCTCAAATCACAAGTAAATAAAGAACCTTAAATTTCACATGTATTTTTTCAACATAACAACTCAAGACAATAACAAGAGATCATCAAAAGATATAATTTTATTATTCTAAATAAAGCACTAGAGTTTTTGAATTAAGAACAATGGAATATCAAGGAAAAATCTCTATTTTTTGAAGAACAAGGGTTTTGAGATTAAAAACAAGGATTTTATGGTTATCAAATCATAACTTCATTTAAAACATGATATGATTTGCAAGAACACCAAGAAACAAGGATACCATAGCAAATATCTATGATTGAGAGTCAAAACACACATATATATATATATATATATATATATATATATAAACCCTAGCCTCAATGGACAAAATTAGGAAGAAACCCCTACCTTGTTTCCTTAGTGAGTGTGAAGAATTAGAGGCTTTGATCCGATCCAATGTGAAAATTTTCTTCAATCTTGTGTTTCTCCCCTTTTTTCTTACTCCCCAAGGCTCTCTAGGGTTATAATTGATGAAATGGGGCTAAAGGAGGTGTCTTTAGGTATTTATAATGTAAAATTTGGAAAGAACACCCAAAATAGGTCTGGGACGTGAAACCCTCCGTTCGGTGCATCCAGACGCGTGTTTCTTTGCCCAACTTTCTGCCAAATGTGTCTGGATGCATGTTTATTCCTGTCCGGACGCGGGTAACAGTATACCCTCAACTTTCAGATCGATTTTGACCTATTTAAAAGCTAATTTAGAAAATTTTTGTGAAATATACTTTTGTAGCCCTTGAAGTCCAGTTTTTACTGTCCACAAATCAAATCAATCGGAGTTAAGAGTAGAAAGTTATGGCTAAAATACTAAGATAGTGTCAAATTCCTTCCTATCCGAATTCTTTCTAAAATGTGTTTAAATTTCGGGATACTTCCTAACTTCTAATACACCTCATATTACCTCTCCCAAGGTTTTTCGATCTTCCAAATTCAATGAAAATCTTATTTTGACTTAAAAATATTTATAAAATTACTTAATCACCTTTCTCTAAGTTAAACATCTTTGAAACTAAGTTTGACCTGAAAGTCAATTTGCCCAAAACTCAAACTTCATGATCAATCTTTCAACAACAAATCGAGATTTCTACAATATTTTTATTTATGCTATGACAAATATTAAAATAATATTATTCTTATTTAATTCTAGTACGGGATCTTACACCCCAAGTGTGTTGGGATGATTTTGTTGAGTTGAATTGAGTTGAGGGAAGGTGCTGGAAGAATTTCATAGATTCTTGTGCCATGCATTCCATTACACTAAGTAGTGAGAAGTGCAATTTTATGCATTTCCTCTGTGGCGTTAAGTGAAGCAAAAAATCCAGCTTGCCCCGAGCCCCATACGGTACCAGAGAGGCACGAGCGGGAGTAAGAAGAATCAGCAGCCTCCTCAATTGAATTAGTAGTCGAGTTCTCTTTGTTCAATAACATTTTATGGATTACCTCTCTCTTGTCTTGCAGTTGAATTAGTAGTCCAGTTCTCTTTGTTTAATAACATTTTATGGGTTACCTCTCGAAAAAAAAAAATGGCTTACCTCTCTCTTGCCTTGCTATGGGCAGTTGTTTTGCTGTTAAAGATGATCAAACCCGTTCACATTTGATTTCAGTTGGTAGTGGGTTAACCAGTTAATTTGTTAGGTGATTGATTAGGTTTGGATTATCTTCTTAATGTATCATATTTTCAGGTTGAAACAAATAAGGTATTTCTGCGAGATACTACCATCGTCTCTCCCTATTCCATTTTGCTCTTCGGTGGCACCATAAATATTCAACATCAGGTATCTTTTCTGTCTACTTTTAATGAAGTTTGTGCAGCTGTGAGGACTGATGAAAATGCTAATGGTACAAAGTGTGGTTCAAGTACTTTCATAGTACAGATCTCGTTATTTCAGCTAGTCACCTTTGGCAGAACAGCAAACTATCATGAATGTTATTTAGGTATCCAAAAATTGCCAGTACAATCAGTGAAAATGCTAGATTTATTGGGTTCTTTTTCTGGGAAAGAGTGTTTTTCGGAAGGTCTTTTTGAAATGAGTCAATTTCTCAGAAACCACGAGGTAGAAGGAAATAAAAGTGGTACAAGTTAGAAAAAAAAAAAGGGAGGGAGGGGGGGGGGCGGGCAGAAACGAATCTGTTTGTGAGACAAGAAATTTATTTCCTTTCCTCCCCTTCTCCTCATTGTTTTATGAAGAAAATTAGACTTCTACAAAAGAGCAAAATTTTCTTTTATATCCCTAAAATTTTCCAAGGCCAAGAAAAATGGTAAGTAACATTCTTTGTATGTTCTTTTCTTTCCGTGGTTTGTGAGTTCCAAATGGAGCCTATTGTCCCTAACGATCAGGGAAGTTGGAGTAAATTGAGTAGGCTTTAAGGTGCTTAAAATCATATAACAAATTGTGTAGGACCCGTATCAGTTATTTTTTTATTTTTTTTTGTCATTTGATTTTTGTATCCACAATTTCTTTCTTAATATATACATGTAAGCAGGTAACATGAACATTTTTGACACCTACTAGCCTACATACATGGTACAATATATCAAAGCAATGTGTGTCAAATTTTCCTGATGGTCCTTTTTGTTGCTGTTCCAACAGAGTGATGGTTATGCTAAAAGACATTTTCCTCTTGCAGACTGGACTTGTCACTATAGACGGTTGGTTAAAAATGGCAGCACCTGCCCAAACTGCTGTCCTCTTTAAGGAACTACGGTTAACTCTTCACTCAATTCTTGAGGAGCTGATCAGAAAGCCACATGTATGTTGGGTTTGCCTATCATAACATTGTGTTTATTGTCTGATGAGATATTCTTTGACTTTTGGTGAAGGATCACCTAGTAACCAGAATCACAACTATCATAATTTATGTTCATGTGTTTTGGGGGATTAGCATTGTTATACTAGCAATATTGGAATATCTTGCAACATGTGCCCGATGGAGATAAGTATTGGCCCCTTGGTGGAGCTCCAATCAAGAAATCATCCTCACAGATATCACAGAGATTAGGTTAAATTTTATTTTACTATAGGGTAATGTAACTAATGTTAATTTGAGGGCAGGACGCAAGATCAGAGGCTGTAATGTTGTGTCTTAGGTTACTTTTTGTAATGGGATTTACCATGGGACTTGATGCATGGATTTTTCCAGCAAGCTTGACAATATAGTCATGATTTAATCGGTCTTAGCATAGGAGGCGCTAGCTGCATCTGTGCCTCCCTATACAGGGGCAATTATATGTGCATGCATTTACTATTTTCTCTGTTTGTAATGTGTGTTCGCGAGAGAGAGAGAGAGAGAGAGAACAAATATATGTTTATCCTTTTCATTGTTGAATTTCGGAAGACGTCCCTCCTTGTGACCTTCGAATAACATTTTTATCTTTTTGCTGCTTTTCAGGCGGCAATTGTAGTTGATAATGAAGTCCTAAAGTCTATACTACATTTATTGATAGAAGAAGACAACCCCACCAAGTGACATGTTCTGGCGTCATGAAATCATTTCTTTTCCTTCTGAGAATGGTTGCACCAAACATAAGAAGTAGCTGGGATACATGGCCCTTCCGCTTCATGATTACAGTGGTCGTTCATTCAGATTCAGAGGAGAATTGGTGTCATTTCGTCAATCAAGCAGGGGTAGTTTGGTGGAGTTGGTGGCTCTGTTAGAAACCACTTCTGGAAGTCATACCTTGGTTTGCTGTATATGTGAAGAAAAATTTGCACCATTGACAAAGATAAATTCAGGGTAAACGGTCACTTTTAGAGTAATTTAGGCAGCCGAGCCAGTTTAACAGAGCTCTGCATGTTCCTGTATCTCTATTTAATGGGAATTGTGTATGAAACTATTGTTTACCATACCTACAAAATGGGAACCGTTGCTCGAGGGAGGTTCAGCTGTACTGTTTACAAGTACTTTTGACATTCCTATCTTCACGGGGGCATATACTCTCTCTCTCTTTTCTTTTGTTAAGAAAGATGTTTTGTGTCCGTGTTACCTTATTAGGACTGTGACTTGAAACTTAAGTGGTTGTGCACAATTTTTGTTATCCGAGGTGATCGGTGATCGGGGCGGCTGTTATGTCTGAAACTGTCCCTCGAATGGCACCATATTCTGTAGCTTGTTATTTCTGAGGTGTTCCAAAAAAGATTGGAATATTCAATTTCGTATAAAGAATAAACACGGTGAATTAGAAATTGACCTCAAATTCTTTTACCTATGGATTTGTGGATGTTTTTCTTTTTGGGTAACATTTGAACTTTTATGGGGAAGGCCGTGAATTTCAAACTCGAGACTTAGCAGTTCAACAGCAGGCTGCGGCCCTATGTGGATTTGTAAATTTGAGCATGTGTACAGGTAAGATTAGTTTTACAAATCTCACTACATAGACTAGTAAACGTGGGAAAGGTTATGGTATTATTGGCGGTATTGTACCAAAAATTATAACTTTGTAAGGATAAGTTATTAGTTTTTTTGAGGTGTAAATTACAACTTCAAAGGACATGATCGATCATAGAAGGTTGGAATTAATATTAAATTTTTTGTAATTGATCATTAGTGTTTGTGATCTATCATGGTTTTTTCTTATCTCTTTTCAAAATTTCTAATTTTACCCATAAAAAATGGTAATCGACATAATGGTATGAAATCTTTTGTCTAGAATTTTCCGGTAAACATTCTCTCCATTCTTTTGTTTATTGTGATTTATAACAAACCTTGTCTTCCTTAAAATATCTATTATCATCTTATTCTATATTCATTCTAGTGATTAGTTAAAACACTAAATTTACAATCACCACCTATGCCATCAAACCCACTCAATCCCCAAATCTTCACCACCCCACATCCACCATTGACGACAACGTGGCAGTGAAATAATTTTAGATGATATTAATTATAAAATGTTGAAGACTATGGTTAATTCAACCAATTAATTAGTTCAGTTAATACTAATTTATTTTCTCATTTTTCATCTTTTGGTTTACATAATCATGAATTTAAATTATTTTACTAATATTGAAGATAAAATTTAAAACTAGGGTGTTAGGGTTTTTAATGGAGGGTAGGATGGCGTCAGAAAAAATAATAGGATGAACAAATAAAAAAATAATATGAAGTGGGGGTGTAAATAAAAATATGGTGGAAATTGAAATTTTAGTGGTGGAAATAGTTCTATCAAAAAAAATATCTCAAGATCAACTAACTTGGGGTTATTCTAGTTTAACCAAAGTCATTGGTTAGAGACTTGAAAATGCAATTGCGTTTAAATACTCGTTAAAGAGAGTTTTGCCGCCTTTGTGGCCTTGTCCGACTTAAATCTGGACTAGTCGGAGCATGTTGTGGCTTTAGACCAAAAAAAAAATTATATGAATTTCCAAAATGCATGAAATTCTTAGAAAATTATTATTCGTGCCCCACTAAAATGTATTGTTAGCAATCATGGCCCTCCAAACTTCATTGAAACATTCGCCCCTTGCACCTTCCATTCACAGATCTCTCTCTCTCTCTCTCTGTACGACAATCGAACTTTCAGTACTCATGGCGAAGCGACCCTCCTCATCTCTCTTCTTCTCTCCTCTCTCTCTCTTCCTCCCTCGAGGCGACACTCTCTTCTACCTCATCGCACTCCTCTCCATTTGCTCTCTCATCCTCCATCACCTCTCTCTCTCCTCCGCCACCCCCGACTCCCACTTCGAAGGCTTCGACGCTGACGACGACGAATTCCTCGAGAACGACGTAGTTGATCTCCCTCTTCGATCCTCACCACCACCAGTAACCCTCTCTCACTCCGACCCCACCGAATCCCACCATGGCCCACCAGATCCCAACCCTGCATCCCCGAAATCCGATTCGTCTCAGCCGTCCGATCTGAAACCATCATCCACCTCCTTCGACCACTGGGATGAAGATGAATTTGAAGGCTTCCCTGAACAATTCCCCCCTGAACCCTCCAAATTTACTGAAAGTGCCACTCCCTCTGAAGTTTCCGATCCCGATGCAAAGCCAAACCCTAAACCAGATGTTGTCAAGGTTTCGAGATCATACACAATTGAGATTGTGTGTGTATCTTTCTTGATTGTGTTTATAATCAATTATTTCACTGGAAAGAAAGAAAATGAAAACATTGCTTTGGCTTGGGCTACAAAGTTTGCGACTAAGGACTCAATTTTCGAGAAAAATTTCAGTTTATTAGGTATTGGGGAGGCGGAAGATTCGCCTTTGTTGTTGAAAGAAGGGCAAACTGTGTTCAAATTCTATGCGAGTGGGCGGAGATTTTGTACGGGGTTATTGGCGACGATGGAGTTGCAGAGCCGGCACGATTTGATATCGAGATTATACAATATGGTGGTACCATGTAGGGATGAGATTACATTTGAAGTTTATATGAATGATGATGCCATGGATCAGGTGGTTTTTGCTTTGGCCAAGAAGAAAGTGGCAAAAACGATGCAAAAGGAAGTGAGCGATTTGCAGAGGTTTGCGGGTCTGGTGAATCCGCCGAGTGGCAAGAAGTGGGTTGTGGATGAGTTGTCAGTTATTTCCGAGTCGAAGGAGGTAGCTGGGGATTTGATCACAGAGGCTGTGCTTGATCAGGTATTGATCTTTCTTACAGTATTTGTTCATTCATTAAGTTTTGGCTACTTATTATGTGGGTTTTTTTTTGTATTTGCATTGTTCTTCTTTTATCGTTTAATGGGTGTCAGTCAATATGTTTGATGAGTTATTTATTGTGTGTTGGAACAACTTCTTGGTTCTACTTTGTTAATTATTAGTTTTGGTTATTCATTATTTGGGCTTCATATTTATTTGCATTGTTAAGCTTTTGTTACTTGTGTTGGTTGGATGTTGGAATTTGCTATTAAGAAGAGAGCCGAGAGAGAGAGAGAGAGAGAGAGAGATACCTGATTAGAGAATTTCAGTGTCCATGCTCTATGAAATTAGTGTGTGAAGTGGATGCATATGATTTAGGGTTATCTAAAGCAGGTTCCATAGTGAAATTCCTCGCTGAGATGACTGGAAAACCTCTCAACCATATTGTCCCAAAGGAGCGGTTAAAAACTTTGTGTGTGTTGTCATGGTTTTTAATCCGAGGAACCGTCGAGTGGCACTACATCTATGAGGGAATAGGGTTATTATTATTATTATTATTATTATTTTATTGCAAACAGGATGATGTTACTAAAAGTAACAAATAGAGTACAAAAGAAGACAAGAAGTCCTCTAATTGTTACATAAAAAGAGATAGGAAAATAGAAAGACTAAAGACAATAAAAACAAAAAAAAGGCTAAATGTGGAAGCAAAAATATATTCTTCATCACACCTTTCTTAAGAGTCTCTTTTTCCCCAAAAATTTTCTTATGTTTTTCCAACCATATTGCCCAAAACAGTGCCAACACCGCACATCTCCATAAAATCTTGGCTTCTTTACATGAATCAAAAACATTGAACCTCCTGATGAATCCCAACAATAGCCAAAAGATTATTCCATAATATGGATACAAAAGAGTAATATAGAAACAAGAGATCTCTAATTAGGGTGCTCCATTGTGGTTAAAGAACATCTGACGGTCTTCTCTTTTGAAGCACTTCAGTAGTATTTGGTTTTTGATGTGCAAGCAACTATGCAAAAACTTGTACCTTAAGAGGTGTCTTGGAATTCCAAAAGTAACAAATAGAGTACAAAAGAGGACAAGAAGTGCTCTAATTGTTACATAAAGAGAGATAGGAAAGTAGAAAGACTAAAGACAATAAAAAAACAAAAAAGGCCAAATGTGGAAACAAAAATATATTCTTCATCACACATCTTTCTTAGGAGTCTCTTTTTCCTCAAAAATTCTCTTATTTTTTTTTCAACCATATTTTCCAAAACAGTGTCAACACTGCACATCTCCATAAAATCTTGGCTTCTTTACATGAACAAAAAATATTGAACCTCCTGACGAATCCCAACAATAGCCAAAAGATTATTTCCATAACATGGATACAAAAGAATAATGTAGAACAAGTGATCTCTAATTAGGGTGCCCCATTGTGGTTAAAGAACATCTGATGGTCCTTTCTTTTGAAGTAGTTCATTAGTATTTGGTTTTCTATGTGCAAGCGACTATGCAAAAAACTTGTACCTTAAGAGGTGTCTTGGAATTCCAAAAGTAATAAATAGAGTACAAAGGAGGACAAGAAGTCCTCTAATTGTTACATAAAAAGAGATAGGAAAGTAGAAAGACTAAAGACAATAAAAACAAAAAAAAGGCCAAATGTGGAAGCAAAAATATATTCATCATCACACATCTTTCTTAGGAGTCTCTTTTTTCTCAAAAGTTCTCTTATTTTTTTTTAACCATATTGCCCAAAACAGTGTCAACACTGCACAACTCCATAAAATCTTGGCTTCTTTACATGAACCAAAAACATTGAACCTCACGAATCCCAACAATAGCCAAAAGATTATTTCCATAACATGGATACAAAAGAATAATGTAGAAACAAGTGATCTCTAATTAGGGTGCCCCATTGTGACTAAAAAACATCTGACGGTCTTCTCCTTTGAAGCAGTTCCTTAGTATTTGGTTTTCTATGTGGAAGCAACTATGCAAAAACTTGTACCTTAAGAGGTGCCTTGGAATTCCAAAGCTTGACCGAGGCTTCAAAAGATAGAAAAATAGACTTGTTAATCAAGAAATCAAAGTTAGATTTGCAAGAATACTCCCCGTGAGGAGGAAATATCCATCTTCTCTTATGCAACAAATATAATTCAAATCAAGACTATCAAGAATACCCAAGAGAGAAGGTAACTTCACGGCTTCGTTATCATTCAAGTTTCTAAAGAAAATAAAATTCCAACAAATCAATGATGTGAAAGATGAAAGTATGCGAGCAATAGGTGAATTAGGATAGCTTGTCATTCTATATAAATGATGGAACGAAGAAGCAAGGGAATACCCCCCCCCCCCTCTCTTCCTTCTTCCCCAAGAAAAAAAAAATCTTCCCATTAACTTGTAAAAAAAGAATAATCTTGTATGCTTACATAGGGTTTTGGGGATTCAAACAAAGACATCAAAGTGGGGTAGTCCCTCTTATGTGGCCCTTTGTCTTTGTTGAGATCCGAGGAGGGTGGTAGTACTTGAAAGCCTTCAATGTGCTTTAGTCGGATTTTTACAAGATCATGGAGCTAGATTTGCCTCTCCACTCCGGTGCTTCTGTTAGTGGCAACGTTCAAGCATTTCATTTGTACTTTCTAGATGCCATTGACTTCTTTTTTGGATTGGATATTTAGGTTTTAATCTTTTGATTATCAAATGACCAACAGTGTTTTGTGTGAACACCTTAGTCAACCCTAGAGCTTCTTCATGGAAAGGAGTTCCTCAAACTCATCAATAAATTCGGAGTTTGCTTGGAAGTTCCTATGAGATGTTTTTGTGGTGTTTGTTAGTTTAGGCCGATATAATTGATTGATAAATTAGCACAAGACCTATTCACTCACATTTTAGGTCCGTTGGGATCTACATAGACATTTTTACAATCTCATTCTTCTTCACTTCAATGAGAAAGTCACCACCCCACTGTCCATCACCAACACACTCCCCTCCACCCCAACTGCGCACCACCACCACTACCACCACCATCCCCACTGTGCACAATTGATCATAGCCCCGAGAATAAGACAATAAAACAACAAAGCAAAAGATCACAAGCAAAAAATGCTGCCTTAGCTATATACATGTATTTTTGCCTTAAAACCATAATCTTCAAAACCCAAGGCAATTTCCAGTCTTAATCCAGGTTTATTGTGGAGTAATTGTCCAGAAAATTATGCCAGAGGGAGGGAGTGAATGGAAAAAAGAACACTAGTTCAATTACCACACTATATTAAGCTTATGGAGAGGATTCTCTTTCCAACCAAAAAAAAAAAGAAGAGAAAACCATAAGATAACCTTATGGCAGAAACAATTTGAAGGTACTGCCTATAATCTTCTGGACATCATCTAGTCATGAATATAATGGTTGTGCTCCACTATATAAGGGTCACCATTCTTGTTACCAAGTGTGTAAAGGGTTTCTCCTCTTCCAACCATATTGGATCTGTAATCTGTCTTCTCTTGACTCTGCAGTTAGGGACGTGAGTGTGGGCTGCAAGTGATGATCTGGGCATGGGTTGTGGAGGAGACAAGGGTAGACAGCGGTTGAGCTGGGGTGTGGAGGAAAGGAAGTGGTGGTGATGAGCAGTGGTTTTAATGAACTGGTATAGAGGAAGGTGAAGAGGAGACAGAAGATTTCTGATTTTTTGTTATAGGTTAAAGTCTTTTATTTATTTATTTTTTTTTTGAGGAAAAAGATTTTATTGATGCCATATTGCAAAATAGATATGTTTCTTACGTTAGAATAGTTATTATATTTAGACTTAGGGGTAGTTTAGTCATTTATTTTTTTATGTTGTCCTAGCTTAGTTTACTATATAAAAACCTCTTATATGTACTTTTTCTTTAAGCTTTGTTCTGGCTAATTGTGCCTCAATAATATTCTCTTATTTCTTCCTCTTACTTTTCTTTGATTGATCAAAGTTAACATGGTATCAGATCATGGTTTTGATCCAAAATATATATTGTACCACCATAGTAATTTAGTTGAAGGAAGAATATATTCTTAGGTTTTGTGATTTGAGGGCTAGTGATTAGTGGATTGCTATATTTTTTTGTGATTCCAAGGGCTGTGAACAGTGCCGAAAAACACTGTTCACGCGCTGTGAACAGTGCCGGGCTTTGATTTTTAGTGCCTTTTTGGTGTTTTGCTATTGTTTTGCTGCCTCTATTTATCTTCTGGACTTTTGAAAGTTATGAAATTTGGGTTATCTAGTTGGTGGATTGTTGGTTTGATTTATTGGCTCAAGATGCTTGTATTAAGGCCTATTGAGTGTCTGCTTCTTCGTTGGTTTCTGGTTTGTGAAGTTGGTATGTTGAGATCTGCTGTTTGGATTGCTATTTTTGTTGACTTACTGCCTCTTCTCTTCTGTTGGTACTTCTTCTTCTTCTGCTTCTTCTGGTTGCTAGTCAGGTTGTTTCTTCTTCGTTTGCTGCTGTTGCTTTGGGCTTTTGGACTGGTTTGTTGATTGGTTGGTTTTGTACATTGGTGAGTTGTCACATTGTTAGTTTTTGATTTGTTCGTTTGGGCTTGCTATTTGATATAGTGTTGCATTGTTTCGCACTGAATAAGTAGGAAACTTTTGTTCCCATTTGCATTGTTTCGCATTGAATAAGCAGGAAACGTTTGTTTTCATTTGCATTGTTTCGCACTGAATAAGCAAAAAACTTTTATTTCCACTTTTGATTGGTGGGGTTTGAGTCTTTGGGACTGATTTTGTGAACGAACTGCTGGGTGAGTATTTGATTTGTAAAGTTGTTAAGTTGATTTGTGGTGAACTTTGGATTGTTTGGCGTTGGCTACTTCTTTTGGTTCTAGTTTCTGATTTTGACTACTGGTGGTTTAGGACTAGTTCTGGTTTGTTTGTTTTTTTATTTTATTGGGATTTGTTTTGTTGAGCATTGTTGCTGGTGGTTTTTGTTGAGTTTTGGTTTTCTGTTGGACCTCTCATTGCAATTTGATCGTCTCTAGAACTTCGTGCTTACTCTGATGCGGACTAGGCTAGTGACTCTATGGATCGCAAGTCCACTATTGGTTTCTGTCTCTTCATTGGTGATTGTCTTATTTTGTGAAAAAATAAGAAACAAACTGTTGTGGCTCGATCATCTGCTGAAACTGAGTATCATGTTATGGCCTTCATAGATAGTTTGATTGTATTGGCTATTTGCTGATCGTTTCTTTACGAAATCTCACACCTAGCAAACTCTTGATGTTTAATGTTACCACATCATAAGTTTGAGGGAGGGTGTTAGAATAGTTATTATATTTAGACTTTGGGGTAGTTTAGTCATTTATTTTTTTTTATGTTGCCCTGGCTTAGTTTACTATATAATGACCTCTTATATGCAGTTTTCCTTTAAGTTTTGTTCTGGCTAATTGTGCCTCAATAATATTCTCTTATTTCTTCTTCTTACTTTTCTTTGATTGATCAAAGTTAACATCTTACACTATTGGTCAAATCTGATGGCAAAAGTGGCGGTAGCAGGTTAATCGAAAAGTACAAGGGGGTTGTGTGCTTATTTTTAAATGATAGCAGATGAAGTGCTTGAAGGGCAAACCACAAGAGGGTTAAAAGAAGTTTGCCCTTTTATTTATATTAAGGTTACAATAAACTTTCAACTTGAGCCCGTGGATGCTTCTCCCACTTTCCTGTCCTTGTGGCTAATTTCCTTTGCTTCTGCTTCCTTTTGTTGTATCAATTATAAATTTAAGAATGCATGATTCAAAGAGCCATATTAAGTGAACCTTTAATGGACTAATTATTTTGCTTAACTCCTCTTTTGAAGTTCTTGCTCAGTAACACTACGTCATTGTTGATCTCAGTAAGGTAAGAGGACTGACTCCACTTGTACTTGCCTTCGAGTGATTTACACTGGCTGAAAGTAAAGGTGGCCACTGATAGTAGGGCAGCCTCTGATGGTGGTTCCTTCTGGAAACACTTATTTATTCCACATTTTGGGCCCGTGGTTAGTTTATCATGGCATCGTTTTCCACAAGCTTCCCAATATAACCGATGAATTTTGGCTTATATCTGGATAATCTCTACTCTTTTACCTTCTGGTTCATCCTTCAATGTCACGTAGGTTTAGTTCTCTTGTTTAGAGTTGTGTAGAATATAATAGTTCTTCATTGCTTTAGTTGAGGCACGTGCTGGCTCTATTTTGTGGGCACTTAACCAAATTATTGTAATTTTCCCTTGTTGGATGCTAAATTAGTCCTGTATTCTTTTACATGCATTTCATCCTTGTGAACAACTATTTCTAATTTATGCCCTTATCATCTTTATTTTCCCACAATTTACTTCTTTTCTTATATATTTCCTTGGTATTTTTTGGGCCTTTGTTATTTTATTTCTTGTGCGCATGAATGTGTGTGACTTTGTTTTTTTGTTTTTCTGCCTGCTTTGTTTTTGTCTTTTTTTTGGCATGTGTATGCCTGTGCTACTGTGCTGTTGTTTTTGTTGCGTAATCTGTCCTTTATGATAATGCAATATGGTTTGCTTTTCATTCTCTGCAGGTCTTTGGTGAGAAAGCATTTGAGAAATTCGGCAAAGGTTTTATGTCTATGCATTTCTCTGATCAACACTTGGGCAAACACAAGAAGATGTTGGTGTTTAAGTTTGCTCTCCCAGGCGCCAATCACATGGCTGACATGACTCGATTGGTGGCTCTCGTACCATACTACATTGACCTAGTTGGGAGGTACAAGCTCAGTTCACAGGTGGGTTACCCTATAATAATAATTTTAACATGTCTAAGAACTTCACTGTAGTTAGTGATTTGTTAAATCGTTTTTGTCATTCTTTAACACAGGCTCGATCTAAAACGGACGCAGCCAGATCAAAAGCTGCCCAGGAGGCATACAAAGAACTTCAAAATGCTAGGCAAGAAGCCTTGCAAAAAAGGAAGGCTGACCGGAGAAAGATATTGGAGGAGGCTGAGGCAAAGCTCAGTGCAGAGGCTATTCGCAAGAAAGAGGCAAAAGAGCGTGCTCGCCAATTGAAGAAGGCCATGCCAAAGGTGAAGATGACTCGTGCTGGCTAGATCTGAAGCTTCATCTGTGCCTTGCAACTCGTCAGCTCAGTGTCCTATATCATTCCTGGAATTTCTGGTTGGGTTTGCTTCTTTTCCCAGCTCCAGAACGCTAGATTCTGTATCCTTCACGGTCGTGTACCTTAGTTGTTTGCAATAGGTTGTCTACTAGTTTTTAACCTTGCCACACCTTTGTGGTTTTTGAGTGGAAAAACTTTTATAAGCTTTCTTGAATGACATTTTAGTTTCATATGGGAAGAACTTCAAGTTGATGTTGAAATTCGAGAAATGAGGTAGTTTAGTTAGTTCTTAGATAAAGAGACAATAAATTCATGCTAGCTGCATCTGCAAGGACAATCGACTACTCTTGGCCCCTAAATAGTTGGAGGACCAGATTGTTGCAACAGTTGAGGGCTGTTCTTGATAGAAATATAGGACAACGTAGAGAATTGAGATGGAGTGTGTAAAATTAGGGTTTTGTGCTTGTGAAAAAAGAACACCCAGAGTTCTAAATGAGGAACTTGAGCTAATGAATACTGAGGGAATGATCTTGAGAACTGGTATCTTTGGGAGCTCGATTATAGCACTATGCCCTTTCATGCAATGTACAAATGTGGTATGTCGTCGATTCCTTGATCTCCCCTGAAACCCTCACACCCGCCTCTACTTCCGGGGCTAATGGCTGTTGGTCATTCTACAAACCCTAACTGAAAGAAAAACTTCGTTCTTTCTGACTAGCATCTGCAGCTGAGTGGAATGAATGATTCTGGAAGAAGTACGCAGGAACTAGATAAAAGGTCGTAAACAAAGGATCATTGTGATTGTAGCCTAGTCTATCTTCTTCATCTGCAGGAGAATTATATGGGAATTCTAGTCGGATGAATGATTTCAAGGTGGGGCTCTTACGTAAGAGGAGCTTAGATTCATGTTATTCCAAAGTTACTTGACTCATCATGGACAGCATTTCGTTATGATCGCTTTCAAAAACTTAGGTATCATTTCTAACTTTTTATGATAGATTTCAGCCCTTTTTAAATTTCTTTTAGTCGTATTTTTGACCTTTTCAAGGCCTAACTCGACTCGATTAACTTGTAAGTTCTGTTTTTAGGTATCGTATCGAATTTGATCTCATGCACTTTTGGCATAAGATTCTAAGTTTGTTATCTAAACAAATGTGCATGTTGTGTACCTTTTGCCTGCCACAAGCAAAGCAAAGTAACCTGTTCACTTCATTACTAGGTGATCCATTCAGCCATAGTACCTCATTGATTGGTAATGATCAAATAAATTTACTGTTGATAGTTCTCTTTCAAGTCATGTTAGGAATTAGTTCCCTTAGAGATGAGAATATTGATTAGTACTTCAATCACATACTTGCTTACCCAGCTTACTTGAACAAGACCTCTAACTTGGCTCACTTCTGGTTCACTTAACCCTTGCTCGAAATGGTTAACTCACTTTGTGGGGGAGGTTTGGATCTATGGCCCATAAAACTCAAAAAATAAAGTGAAAATTAGAGGTGAGTCCTCCTAAATGTACTTGTTTAGAGATAAGTCCGGCAAAGAAACTGATAAGAGGTTAAGTCAATGTTTAAAATTATGTGTAATGACTTTAGTCCACTTTTTTTTTTATCTCAAAAATACTCCTAACAATGTTAAATTTGGTCAATTATGGAAAGTCATATGTTAGATGTTTGAGATATATATGATAACGAATTGTTCAATTTTTTATGGAAACTGAATCTGATGCTTGAATTACGACAAAATTATTGATCTATTAATTCAATTTCAAATCAAAAGATTTCATTAACAATTCAAATTCAAAATCTGAATCAAGATACCTAAACAAACATATATTGCTCGAATAACAATGCTACTTAAAAGACGAACTCAAAAACCAAACCCATTTTTTTTCCTATTTCCTTGGATATTAACTAGTCGGAGCTTTACTTGAGAGCTTTGACTTGGAGGGGAATTAACAAGGCCCGGTCAATGAAAACTGTGCGTGCAAGATCCTGCACAATATAAAAAACGAGAACAGATCTCTCCCTTGGTGAACTTCGAATGTGCCAGTTGAGTGACCAACCACGCCGCTTGGAACAGCCTGCGAGGTCCGGTGGTAACCAGGAACGGCAACGGGAGACCCTGGGTGAGCGGGAGAACGATCCAGTAAGGCTGAAAGAGGATCCTGGAACAAAGAAGAACAAGTTAGAAGGGCGCCGGAGTGTTTTCCGGCGTATCCCCTCCGACGATCTAGTCAGTCTTTGAGAGAGAGAGAGAGAGGAAGGAGAAAACACTGAGAAAAATGTATTGTAGTAGAGAGTTTGTGATTGCATACCCGCTTTGCCTTTTGCAATGAGTATTTATACCTTAAAAGCTCATGATTGCTGTCAGTGTCGTCAGAAGGTGATCATTAGGTACAGGTAGCGTGTGCATTGATTCTGATGAGGAATGTCTTCTCTAATTAACTGCTCGGGGTCCCGAGCAATCAATGCTGGATCATCGGGATGCCGACGGTACAATGTGCTCCTCTCGGGGAGGATGCAATAAATGCTCTGTAACAGGAGCATTTATTGTCTTTCATTTCCGAGCCTTACCGCATTGAATGCGGTCTCATCAAGGGAATGGTGCAATTAATTGTTTGCTTTCCCAAAGCGCGTGTCAGCAACAGCATGCGGTTTGTCTGTCTTTGATGTGATATCATGTGTCACGCGTCCATCCCCTGTTGGCTATGACCTCTGTATTCCAGTATGTTCTGACATTACTTGTGTAAGACGAGGTCATGATGAATAGCCTAGACTAGCCTAGGCTAATGACCTGTACGTCAATAGCTTATCCTGGAATAGAGGAAGCGTCTAGGATGGGGTATCTCTCGGCACCGAGGAAAGGCTCATCTCGGGGACCGAGGGAGGTATGCCGACCGAGGTACATATCAGACCGAGGCCACGTGTCGGTTGTAAAATATACTGAATGTATGATCCTATACGCCAGTACCTCGGGGCGAGGTCATTCGTGCGCCGATGGTGCTTGATCTTAACAAGTGTTTTAGTAAAATCGAGGACACGTGTCTTCATCATAGGGTATTTCGGAAAAGTCCCATCAACTACCCCCCAGCCTTCGATCTTCTGACACCGAGGACACGCGTCGTAAGGAGACGAAGGGTTTCCCAACAACCACCAGTACTTCATTATTGTCTCGAGCCGCTTTCCCCGGCTTGGGATGTCGTGTGCATTAAATGCGCCGTTTTCATTTTTCGCGCCCAATGATGAAAATTGCCCCTATATAAAGGGGGCTCTTCTTCCGTTTTCCTCATTTTGCCATTCCAACTTTCCTCAAGAGAGCTTCTTCTTGAATCTTCGCCGGAGTTTCGTTTCTTCTTCCGTCGTCGACTGCCCATTTTTCCTTAAGATCTTTAAAGCCAGCAGACCCACCGTTTGATCCTGAACTTTCTAGAGGGAGTCAGCTTTAAGGTTTCCCAGAAAAAAACTCTGTTTTGACATTCGGGTGAGTTTCAGAATCTCCTTTCTTTTCTTCCTCCTAGCTTTTTGTTTTCCGATTGACTGGAGGTGTCATCCGGTTGATACATAGCGATTTAACCCTCGGGAAACTTCCTCAGGGATTTTCAAGAACAAATACCCTCTTCTTTCTTACTTTTTCAGAGATGCCTCGTCGTCGCCCTGCTCCCGAGAATCCTCAGGCTGGTTCTTCGGGGTCGGGGAAGTACAAAGTAAAGGGCGATGTGCAGATCAATAGGTTTAGGGCCAAGTACGGCATTCCCCCGAGCGTAGATGTAGAGGAATATGACCTGGTGCTGCACTCTTCTACCCTCGGGACCGAGGATTCCATGCCCTTCTATACTAAGGCCATAATAGAGGGGGGAATTAGGTTTCCTTTACCCCCTTACTCCTTCGGTTCCTCTCTCATTTTCGCCTCTTTCCCGGGCAATGTTGCCTCAATGTCTTCCGAATAATCATGGGGGTCTTAAAGCTCAATAGGCGCCTCGGGGTAAATATTGGGCTCAACGATCTCCTTTTTTGTTATTCCCTCCTGAGAGTCATGCCTCACCAACACTTCTACCTCAAAGCCAGGGACCCCTCCATGTACCTTGTAACCCATCTTCCTGACTCGGACAAGAGGTACAAGGATGATATTCTTATTTTCAAGGGATCTTGGCAGAGGGGTGTTGGTCCCGAGTATAACGACTTGTTTGTGCAGATATCCCTGCTCGGGAGACAGCTCCTCCCCCTCGGTCGCTGGTGAACTTTGCCGACCTAACCACGGTTTGGAGATTCACGGGTGACGACGGGTTTGGCCGAGCTGCCCACGTCCTGCTGAACTATACCCCAGGGTACAAGAAATTTTCTCAGCTTCCTCAGCCTTTTGATCCTTGCGGTGGTCTGAACTCTTCGATCAGGCGGCGAGGTTAGAGGTTGAGGAAAACTTGGAGGAAGACCCGGACCGGGCTTCGGAGGCAGAGGTAGAGGGAGTTGCTGAAGAGCTCGGGGTCAGAGAGGACGTTGTTCCTTCGGACGCCGAGGTGGGGGATTCGGGAGGAGACGTGTGGCCAGACTTCCAAGTTCTTCAATCTCTGGACGCCGAGGACGCGCTTGAGGTCGCAATGTCAAACACTCCTCGCATCGACCTCGGGTTCCTAAGGCAGAGGCAAGCCCTCGCAGCCGGGAGAGGTCGAGGAACGACCGGCGGCACCCCCTCTGCAGGGACCAGTTCCACCCCATCCTCAAGGGTCCTTGGTCGGGGTCAGGTGCGAGACCGGGATCCTCAAGTAGAGGAGGAGAGAAGGGTCAAACATCGACACGATGGTCTCGGCCGAGGATCCAGGGCACCTCCCGCTCAGCAGCAAAGCGGGAGAGGCCGTGGATTACCCCCTGCTCCTCCACAACAGCAGCAGCAGCAACAGCAACGACAGCAGTAACAACAGCAGCAGCAGGCCTCCCATTCCCTTCCGCCGACAGTGGAAGCCGCGGAGTGGAATCCCCGAGCCACTGATCACAT